AATAGAAAAAGGAAGCATGCCTTGAGAAATAGCAGTTAATGCCATGGTGAATTGCAAACATAAATTTTAAACAAATGTGGGTGTGCCTGAAATTTCACCTCTATGTGTTCTGTGGGACTCTGCACAGGCATTCATAAAAAATGTTCTGTGTTCGCTTTGGGAAATGGTGGCTCACATAAGTTTAAACAAGATTCTTTACTGTAGGGCCGCCCAGACTTTTGAATGAGGCGATGAGCACACTGACTTCATAGAGGAAGGTGGGCCTATCGCAAGCCTCCCTGACCACTGAGTCCTCTTTTTTGTGCACAGGACTCAACTCCATTCTCTGAAAGTACTGGAAGTGATTAAAAATAGCAAAAGGAGTATGGAATCCTAAGGCAATGGCCCCACTTCTCAGTGTAAGCAAAGCTTTTCTGGCACTTGCCTGGAGGGTATCCCTATAGGACAGAGTTTCTCAAGGTGAGGTCCATGATCCGTCTGCAACAGAGTTAGCCGGGTCCTTGTTTTAAAGTGTTGATTAGTGGCCTCACTCCCAGGCAAGGGGATGGTGAGTGTGGGAAACTATTTGGTTTAAGAATATTGGTTGCCACTCCCTAGGAGAGAATTATATTTCTTTATCTAATGTTGGACTTGGCCATTGCTGATAAGCCTGTAAATATTTCAGCACCTGTCTAAGAGATAAAAGCTTACTTGAAGAAAAATGTAACCACACCACCATGATCACACCTAAACAGCTCTGATAAAAATGCCTCCATGTTATCCAATGGTCAGTATTCAAAGGCAGTTGTCTCATTTTTTTCCTCCCTGGTCATTCTGTTTGAGTCAGAGATCCATACACTTCAAGGTCAACCTGGTCAGATTGCAAGGTCAACATTCTCTTGGAAGATTTAGGGCGGCCACTGAAGAGATGGCCTCCCCACCTCTGTGGGTAGTTGGGCTGGGGAGTCTCTAGACTTTACTTACAGGACTTAAAGACACAAGATCATGTAAATGAAAATTTACAGGACAGAAATCCACGGGTGAGGAATGAGTCAGGAATGAGGCTGCAGGTGTGTGGCACAGGGACCTGCACACCTACTTGGGTAGGCCACACATTTAACCTGAAGCTCTCAGCGGCTGGGGCAGAAGGAGAAACCTGGTTGGATCCACCATTCGCAATGTCCCTAAGGTGAAGGCAGATCCAGGTACAGGAAGAACAATCCTCAGTACTAAAAATCAGGTAAGAATTTCTCACAGGTGTCCTCTTATCAAAATGAAAGTTAAGCATCCTGACAATGAACACAATGACAGATATTCTGGGTGTGCCCAAACACTAATAAACTTGGCAAGAGTAGCTGTGCAGACTGACTTGGACGCGTTCAGAGGTGTGTGAGCGTGGAACATGTGCCTTACGTTGAAAATGTTCAGAGGAACATTATTACACGAGGTTCACTGGCGCCCCACTGCCAGAAACATGGCCCGGTTTGCCTGGCAGAGTTGCAGTTCGTGCCTGTGAAGACCCCATTCATTCTCAAGTGTCCAGTCTGAACAATGAAGCATGCAGCCCTCCCATCCCGAAAGCCCCGGACTGACCTCAGCAGGCCCGCCCCGGCTCATCTGATGCCACAGATGCGTGTGCTCCTCGGGCCAGCGTGGCAGAATGCCCTGGAGGCTGGGCCTCCTTCCTGGTGGATCTCTCCACACCTCCATGCCCACATCCTTGGTGCTAAGCAAACACTTATGCTAACATGTGGGAACTCGAGCGTTTGTGTGCAAGCCAGCAAACCAGACAGGTTGGCCTGTGTTACAGCTTTCAGTGGGCTGCACCTTAGCCTCAGTGGAAAATCCCAGTATGGTATGATTCAGTGGAAGCAGTTCTATAAAGGAAAACCTCTTCTCAGGCTGGGAGGTGGCTCTCTGTTCTGGCTTGATGAAGTAGATCCCAGGGAAGTTGAGGTTTTTCCTAGGAAGCCAAGAGTTCTAGTAACATGACTACAAGGATGGTACAGGGGACATCTGTCATTTTTACTTCTTCCATTTACCCTCCGAAACTCCCCCTCAAATTTCCCTCCGAGGAACCGTTCTGTTCCCGGCTGTTAGTCAGGCCATGTGGTTCCAGTGAAGCTGACCACACCTGTCTTGTGGTGGAGCGTGGCCTAGGTGTAAGCCATTGGCCCTTGTGACTGATTCGTGGATGGACACGTGGCCAGATACTTTCACCGTGGAATTTTGGAAAAAACCTTGATGCTGAGAGGATGCGGTGGCTCAGCTGACATGACCATGTAGTTATCACGACACCTGGGTCACTAGAAGACAGACAATATGATCACAAATGCAGCGGTGTCTCAAGTCAGAACTACTCCTGGACTTTACATGAGCCATTTTCGCTTAAGGGAGAATATGGCTTGTTACATAAAAGCATTTACTGGCACAAAGACAAAAACGCCTAAATCTGCCTCCTAAACAGGGCCAAGATGGTAGGGTGGGAAGACAGTTTAAAGCAGAAAGTACCAGTTACCATAGGCACAGAAAAACTTCTATCATGTATTCGTGAAATGTGATTTTGAGGAGCATCTTTCATTATCATACAGAAGTTACAAAATGTATCCTTATGTAACAAAATGATCAAACTTTGATGAATTGTTGGCAATGAACTAAATAAATTCTGAATGCCATCTCAAGACATAATGGTTTTAATTTTAGAGTTGTTATTTTAGGCCATTCTTTCTGACAATAGTTAATTAGGCAGGATAAGATAGTCTACAGTGACCCTCCCTGGTTTTTGACAGTAAAACCAAACCATCAACATCTAGGTTATTTCTTAGGTGTTTTCTCCAATAGACACCTATAAGCAAAACCACCCATTAGGGACAGTTGGACTTTGAGAACTTTCTGGGACAGGTAAACTAATTCTCATCTAGGAGAGTTAAGCTCTGATAGTTTCAAATGGTGCGTTGGTTGGAAAAAAACAAACCAACCACTATCCAGGGAATTAGAAAGCCTGAGTTCAAGTTCCATTTCTGATGCAAAATTAGCTCTTCGATTCTGACCAAGTCCTTTCAACTTCCATGGGCCTCAGGATTTATTCTATAAAATGTAGTATTTAGACTAGATGTTTTTAAAAAATATTTTAAATAAGATTTTGTTTGAGTCAAGCTGACAATGTATACTGGGGAGCAAGATTTCAAATGCTTTTCCAGACTAGACATTGACTAAAGTCTCCTCCAGCTTTACTGTCTCTTTGTGAACAGGAAGACTTTAAATCATATGAATAATTTATAAAATACAGAATAAAAGGGACAGTTATTGCATTTTCCTTTGTATTCATGTACAAACTCTGTTTTCTGTACTTGAGCCTTTGGTGAAATAAGACAAAAATAAAACAAGGAGGAATCAATGTTATGAAGAACTTTAAAAAAATATAAAGCATGGTGTTCACATATACATTTACTCAATAGGCACTTTTGTTATTGGGCTAGAAATATGAATGTGACATGGTCTTTGTCCTTAAGAAGCCTGCTGTGTAACAGTGGAGATTAACTGTAGTTCCACTAAGCAAGCTTTATCACGCAGGGATACATTGAGCACACAGGTTCTGGGTCTGCTTAAGCCAGATAGTGAGCTTAGAGAATTTGAGCTGACCACTATGAGGATGTGTTAAAGAGTGGATGAGAGTTCTAGGCAGAGGGATTATCAGGTACTGCATCCTATTTTCATTATCATGGAAATAGAATAGATATTTGGAAAATAAATGTATGCATGTAAATTTAGATTTGCCTTGGTGAATTTGGTCTATTTGCGTTAAGGAGAGCTAACATGGATTGAATACCTGCCAGGATTTATACTGTGTTAGGTACTTTACATGTTGTCTTTTTCATACAACCTTTTAAAATACTGGATGACAGCCTGGAGGCAGGAAATGGCAAAGTTAGGATTCCAAGTCATGTCTGCTTGTCTCCAACCCTTGATCTTTCCATGGCTATATCATTTCTCTGAAAGAGTGCATAATTTTCTTCCCAGCTCTGAAAATGCATAGATTCTGAAGCTTCTCCCTTACAACTAGTTGCCTACCTATAAATAATTCCTTTACTTGAGCTGATTAGCTCTCGTTAGTGAACTCGTTCTCAAGCTTGTTGATTAAAAAGAATCATTTGAGGGGCTTTTTAAAATGCAAGTTCTCAGGTCTTGCTTCTGGAGATTCTGACTCAAGAATGGACCGGGGACTAGTACTTGTATTTTAAACTAGCATTCAAATCATATAAACAATCAGATTGCAGGAAACACTGGGTTAGTGTCCTAGCCAACTGGTCTACCCATTTTAAGCCTCTTAGTCCAAACCATTTTTTATCCCCGTTTTTCAGCATTACTCTTTTAAGTCCCCTGAAGACTTCCTTCCATACCGTTTACCACTGTTTTCTTTACTGATAGTAATAAATACTACTGTTTACCGAGCACGTATTTATTTACTATTCACTGTCGCCTCCACCTTGAACAGAAGCTCCACGAAGGGGCTGAAACTGCCGTACGTGGGCGCTCCGGAAATATTTACTGAACCAGCAAACCCACAAGGCAGTTATTATTATCCTTCAACTTGAAACTATGGGGGAGAGTAAAAGAGAAACGGTAAAGCTGAGAGAGCTTGCGCCAGAATTAGTATTTAGCAGTTAATTTTGGACGCACTGCCACCGTTCCCACTGCCTGCCAGCAGTCCCTTTCCAAAGCTCGCCCTTCTGAGGCGATGGTCCGCCACCCAGGCCACGCCACGCTCCTAGAACGGATACATGGAACGGTGACCCGCTGAGCTAAAGCGCCCTTCCCTCCGGTGTGGGTATGAATCACGTGGGCCTGGAGGCGGGGCCTGAACGCTCGCAGCGGACAAGCTGTCGGCCACGTGGTGCAGAGGGGTGGTTTGCCTCGGGGGCGTGGTCGTAACACCGAAGGAACCGGAGGCCTGGACTCCTCGCGGGCCACGCCCCTCGTTCCCTCTCGGGGCTCGCGCGACGGATGGGTAGAGAGGAGGAGCCTTCCTCGTGACCTTTCACCCCAGCATGGCTGCGCCCATGGGACCCGTGAAGTTCTGGCGACCGGGTAAGGCTTTGAACAGAATGCCGGGCAGATACAGGGGACTGCCTTTGGTTTTGGCCTGGCTGCCAGCGTTCTGTAGCCTGCGGACCTGCTCGCAGGCCTAGCCTCGGCCGATTGGCCACAGCTGCCTCGATGATGGTCGGCTCTGCGACTCCGGCGCTCACAGTGGTCTGGAGGGATTCGGGGGTCAGTTCCCAGCCTGGGCAGAAATTCTCTTTGTGACCTTGTTCGAGTCTTCCAGCTTCTCTGGGCCTCGTTTCCTCACTCCTGATGCCTGTCTTGCCCAATCTGCGAGATGGGGAAACGCTAAAGCACCCACGCGTGTCCTGTTACTGCCCTGAGGCTAACCTGGAACCGGACAGGCGGTGCCACTCAGGATTTATGAGCTCCAGCTATGGAGTCAGACTGCATGGGTTCGAATTTTGCGCTCTGTCCGTAGTGGCAGAGTGCCTTTGGGCAAATCACTTAATCTTTCTGAACCTTAGCTTCCTCAGTTAAACGGGCGGAATGATAACATTTATCCTTGAGCTTGAATAGGGAGCACGAAGAGTTGTCTGACGTAGCGTAAGTGCTCATAAAAAGGGAAAGTGTCTTCTTTTGTTTTAGGGTAATTCTTCTCCACTCCAACTGTCTACCAGAAAGTGAACTCCTTCATACCGGCTGACACGGACTTCCCCTCTTGCAGTCTAACACGAATCTCAGTCCTAAAATGCTTTGCTTGTTTTATTTTAAATTTTCTCTAATCAGGATTTTATTGAATGTGTACGTGTGAGACCCTGCTATATGCATTACTCCCTTCCCTTCCATGAGGTTCTCCCGGAAAACAAGTACCTCCACCACACTGCTTGCACCTTTTCAGGCCTGGATATGCAAAGTATATTGCTGCAAAAATGAAATGAGACAGAGAAGGTAAAACAAGGAAAGCTTTTAACTTTAAAGGGTATTTTAGAGTGGGTCCCTGAAATTCTGACCATGTACAAAAGTGATGTGGGAGATAAAACCATGCAAGGGATGTGTTAATTCTTTTTCAAACTCTGTAGTTTGTTACTTAACAACAATTTTATGATTCAGCATTTCAAAGTCATTTGCCAGTTATCTATCCATCCTGAGTTTTATTTGCAGGCAAATCTAAGCTCCTGTTAGGTAACAATGGTACCTACCCTCTGTTTATTCAAGCCTTTAATAATGGGTTAAAGTGTGAAGTATAAGAAAGGCCTGAATGAACTGTTGAAAATCACACCAGGATATTATTTTAGTTAAAGAACATGGGACTAATCCAAGAGTTTTATTCCATTATTTAGTTTATTCACTGAAGATAAACTTACTGTACACCAAATTTTGAGGTCAGGAGACAGATATAGAAGACCAGGGCTCTACTTTGCTCTCAAGGTTCATTCTCTGCCTCTCAATCATACCATGAAGTTGGATACCCTTTAGAAGAGATTTTAAAATGAGGCAGAAAAAGGTGGTGGTAAGGAAAATGGGCTCTTGAGTTAGACGGTAGAGCCCATCCTTGACTACCATTTACTACCTCGGTACTTTGGCAAAGTCACTGAAGTGCTAAAAGTCTCAGTCACCTCATCTGTAAATTGAACATAACACCTACCCAAAGGATTGTTTTGAAGACTAAATGAAAGTACATGTACAGCTGTTAGCATTAGACTACATTAACTATTATAATTATATGGAAGTATAGAGGACAGGGAAAGCTTGAATGTGTGAATAAGAAATACTTCATATAGCTAGTGATATTTTTTTAAAAAGATAGTGGAGTTGTCTTGAGGTGGACACTAAAGCACAAGTAAGATTTTGTTCCACAGAGAAGTAGGAAAATGGAGCTCTAGGCAAAGGGTGGAAGACGAACAAAGGCAAAGTGGTGTGCGTGCCTCAAGAATGTCCAAAAAAACCAAAATAATTGGGTAGTGTGATGGTGTTCAGTGGTGGGGAAAAGGATGGGGCAAAGTAGGTTTATAGTTTTTCATATGGAAAACAATACAATAATAAATAATAATATAAGAACAAACTGTTTTGCATACTCACAACTGTAAACCTACTTTCTCCCCACCCTGTATTTTGGGGTTTAGCAGGAAATGGAGCTAGAAAGACAGGGACCTTGTTGTGAGAGGTGTCACGGCAAGTTAAAGAATCTGCCCTTCATTGCTTTTAGCAAGGGATGACATACATGATCAGGTTTGTTTTAGAAAAGTAACTTTGAAAGTGCTGTGTGGAATGGTTGGGGGAGGAAATTAAAGTCAGGGACACCCTTAAGAGAAGGTACTACTGAAACTGAGGAAGGATATCGAGAGCCTTAGTTCTGTCCTGGGAGCAGTGAGGAGGGACCTTGTTGGAGGGACATTTTAGAGACAGATGTATGAGAAGGTGAAGTCAGTGATGACTCAGGTTTCTGGGTTAGGCGACTGTCTAGGTAAGAGGTTCTCAAATTTTGCTGTGTAGTTGAATCACTTGGGAAGCTTAAATGTCCTGCTGTTCTGTCAGACCCTATGGCACTAAATCCGAATTCTGGAGGGCCAGGAACTAAAAACATCAGTGTTTTTAAAAAAGAATCAGCTATTTCAGCATGTGTCAAAGTGTGGGAACCACTTGTCTGGATAAACTTGTCATTAATTGAGGTGGGAATGGATTTAGAACACATTTGCTAGGCTCTAAGTTTGTGCTAGTCACTTTTACTTGCATCATTTTATTAAACAGTCACACTATCCCTATGATGGTGGTATCACTCTCATTTGACAGGGGAAGAAACTGAAGTTAAGGTACGAACGTAGGATGTGGTAATTACATGGTGAAGGTCAAGTAAGAGATTGAGGCTAGATGTCAGGCTAGATGTTAGAATCATGAACATATCCTGTAGGCTGGGAGTCACACGTTCAGGTAGCTACAGGGGCCTTTCAACAATCTGAATAAGTGAAGCTGTTGGGTGGAAGTAATGTGGAGTAGCGGGGACTGGGGCAAACTAGAATGCGCATGTACTGATATACACCTGAGCTTGCATGTGCTAGCAAAAGCAGGTAGTTGTAGTTAGTATCCAGTGGTTGTCATATGGGCTCAGAGTTGCCCGATTTTACGTCTAATATCCAGAGTCGAATGGGAAATTTTTACATGTTTTAAATGAACTATTTTAAACATTTTAACCAAGGCATGTTTGGGGACCTTGAGTGACTAGTTTGGGATCTCTACCAGTTTGTGGTATCTGCCCTTAAGAGCTCTGTCTGAGCTGCCCAAGATTTCGGTTTGACCAGCCCAAGTGGATCAGAAGGGCCTGGCCATTTTTCTTCGCTTACTCAACAGATATTTCATGACTGCTGACGACATGCCTGGCAGAAACTTTGTAGCAACAACTTCGGAGACTTTTTTGACCTGACCTACAGTAAGGAGTATATTGTGTTGTGATCCAGCAGGTGTACACACACTCCCCTGAAAAAAGTTGTACAAAAACAGTATTGCTTCCTGGGACACACTCTGATACTTTGTATTCTGTTTCTAGTTCGTAACTGAAAAAATGCTGGTCATGATCCACTACATTAATTTTATAACCCACTAATGCCTGAGACGGAATGCTGGATTGAGGGGGTTGCTGTTATCAACCTTTTTTTTTTTTAAAAAGAGTATTTATTTATTTTTAGAGAGAGATGAAGATAGGTAAAAAGAGAGGAAGAAAAACATAGACATAAGAGAGAAACATCAATTGATTACCTCTCATATTTGTCCGGACTGGGGACCGAACCCACTACCCAGGAATGTGTCCTGACCAGGAATCAAATCCGTGACCTTTTGTGACTTTGCAGGATGATGCCCAACCAACTCAGCTACACCAGGCAGGGCCATTTATTAGATTACTGAAAGGATTTGGGACTCCACAAAATGTAAACCTAAATCACTGAGCTAAATATTCTTGTCATATAGGCCCTGTTCTTTCACATACCATCATAGATTCTGAGTTCAGAAGACCTGCAAGATAGTTTTGGGTAATTACCCCTGTTGCGCCCCCAAAAGAAGGCTGTGCAGCATGTTTGAAGGTCTAGGGGGGGTTTTATTGCTGCACAGAGGCACCGTGCTCCAGTGCTGAACAGCTCTGACTGTTGAGTTGAATTCTGAATCCTGTGTCATTTACTGATTATTCTTAACTTCTGTCCTGGGGCTGCACAAACAAACCGGCATGAAAAGTTATGGAAGTGATCATAAAAAATGCTTCTCCAAAGGCATTTTTCTTTTCAGGCTAAAAATCTTATGATACCTTGGACAGTTTTTCATGATGGGATATGGCTTCCCTATTCTTCACCCTCCTGAGCTCCAGGTTGTCCTTGTTCTTACCGAGAAGCGGCTGTGGAATATGTGGCTTCATCTGCTCAGCACAGTGGTTTCTTAGAACAGCACCTCCCTTCCAGCTGTTCCAATTCTGTGATTCAAATGGGGCTGCCATTTATTGTGCCCCATTCCACTGGCCATAGTTGATTGGATCGGGCTGGGCATTGGACCTATGCTGGGAGAAAAAGAGCCTCCCACACCCTCAGACAACACACACCTGGGGCCCCCGGTCCCCCCATACTGGGTCTTTAATGTTCTCTGTAGCACTTACTGCCAGTTCACACACTAAGTTACGTTCTGTCGGGAGGAAGAGCAGGAGTAGCAGTAAGCTGCACGAGGGTAGACCTGCCCCCACAGTGTTCATGCTGTATCTCCGCACTTCCACTCCTGCTGGGTGAGTGAATGAGTTATTGGCGGAGGGACTGTGGGCCTGAGCTGTGGCACCGTCTGCAGCCCTGATTCCACCTCCTGTAGAGAAGCCACCCTATGGGACAGAGAGGACCTTATTGAGAGGAGCAGAAAATGAGAGAAGGAGAAAGCCCAGGCAGCATTTGAGTCCTGGTTCCTGTGGTGCGGGACCTTGCTGCCATCCTACAATACTAGGACTCATCCTTTGCTTCAGCTAATTCCCACTGTGTTTCTGTCACTTTTAAGGGTTGGGTGATAATACGGACAGGGGGGCCAGAGCGAAAACATTGTCTTCTGTAACGGACAGTTGTGTGAGGCCAGTTTGGAGCCCGCTGGGACTGGACCTCCTTTGTTCTTGGAACTGCAAGTGACACCTACAGACAATGTTTTTGTATTTTTATAGGTATCGTACTTTTCTACTTGCTTTCCTGAAGTTAAAGTTTAATATCTTCTAGTAGTTTGAGATCACATTTATTGCTTCTGTTGTATTGGCTTTGTCTTTAAATTTGTAACTTGTGCACATTTTTCTGTTCACTGTATCAGAGAATCTGAAAAAAAAAATTCTGTTACAGGTACAGAGGGACCAGGTGTCAGTATCTCTGAAGAGAGACAAAGTGTAGCGGAAAATTCTGCAACAACCGTTGTTTACAACCCTTATGCTGCCCTTTCCATAGAGCAGCAGAGGCAGAAGCTGCCGGTGTTCAAGGTACGTTGAATGAGCACGTTCATTCTGTCGGCCTGAAGCCGTCTGCAAGAGTGTACTGGCGAGGAGGGTCCTCTTAATGACTCTTTAGAACACAGAGAGCTGGAGACTCCCTCATCCGAAGGGATGAACTTTGCCAAATGTGTGTGTGAGTTACCCTTATGAATCTTCAAAGTCCTTAAGATTTTCCCTATTGAAAACTGGAAGAAAAGGAATTATGTTCTTTTTTCCCCTCTTTGTTTTCAATTATGGACAAGTTCAAACATACAGAAAAACAGAGAAAATGGCACAGTAAACTTCTGTGCATCCAGCTTCAACAAATTACCGACCCATGGCCAGGTTGGGCTTCCCTTCTCAAGGCCTGTTTCTTTAAACAAGATTGAGTGGGAATATGAGGCGGTTTCTGTTGAAGAGGTCGACTCCCACTGAGACAGTGCTGGGGTGTCGGTGTGTTTGTTACGTGCCCTGTGCGCATCCAGACGCTGGGTTTCTTTAGTCTCATGAACTGGACACATCTCTTGTCATCTCGCAGGAGACCAAAGAGTCAGCTAGAATCCAGAATATGTTTGTTTACGATGAGTTGTAGTTCAGTGCAGATGGACCCAATCCGTGGACACATCTCCTCCCTGTTGCCAAGTCCACCCGGGAAGCCAAATTATAATCAGGAAGTGGGCTTAGAGCCAATGGCGATTTAGATAGAGGTGAAGGATATTTTATTTCCGTAGCCCCGATGAAGGGTGATGAACTGTCCCTGGCTCACCCCATGCCTCTGCAATGACCCGAGTGGGTGTGGCCACCAGCACCCTGTCTCTCTCCCTCTCCTGGACAGGGCTGGCTGAAGGCCGCCAAGTTCTTATGCCTAGGGAGCCCCGTTGCCTAGACTGCTAACTCCTCTCTTACTAATATGTTCTTTTTCCCAATGGATATTAATTGGCAGCCTTATTAATTTAGCCAAGTGGCTTTCGTTAGAGGTGTACGTGGCCCCTGACATGTCAGTCACTCACATACTGCCAGTGTCTGGGTTTCCTTCTCAGGTGATGAACTGCACCCATCCAGTGTGAGTGCAAACCAGTTTGGTCCCGCGGAGATGGGCTTACAGGCTCACTGTGGCTTCCTCACTGTGAGGGACACAGTTGGAGCTGTGATGAGGGGTCTGGACTTCGGCGTTCAAGCCCAGGCTTCCTTGTTTGTGTGCTGTGGGGCCTTGCCTTACCATCTGAGCTTCTGTCTTCTTACCTGTAACACGGGACTGGTAGTGCCTCCCTCACAGGATTGTTATGAAGGCCGATGAGGCAATTCAGGTAGAGCATTTAGCAAGATATATATGACATGCAGAAAGCATTCCAAAGCAAGGAAATTACTATTTACCAAGTATTTAATTTTGACATTTTCTTAATTGATCCTTGTCTTCCAATGATAAGATATGATAAAGGAAGCCACAAGTGAAAAAAAAGAGTAAACAAGAAGTTAGCATGTGTCGATGCAATTCAAATGCTGAGGAGAGGAGTATAAGTTACTGATAAGAGGCGAAGCGGAGTTTAAGCATAGTGAAGATCTCATGTGTTGTTAAAGATAAATCTCGGAGACTTATTCACTCACCACTCCCCCGTTAAAACTAAAACTAAAAGTAGCTTTGAAAAGAAGTTGAAACTAAAGCCTCAGCGCGTCTCCAGCTCACCCCCTTTTCCCCAGTGCCATCACAGGGTGGCCTTCCCCTCGAGCACCTGCCCTGGGCCGGCGTTGTCCCTGGGCCCTGGACACGGCTGCGCAGGGTCGTGCCCTTGTTTTCCCTCCCACTCCGGCTCTTTGGGGCTCCGGGCTGCCTCCGCGCCCTCCTCCATGACCTCCTCCGCGCCCTCCTCCGTGACTTCCCCGCCTGTGCCCTTCCCTGACACTGTCATTTTCCCAGTCTCCCAACTGGAAATCTTTCTCATCTCTCAAATGCTGTTACACCCTTTCCATTTGCTGTGCTTTGCATTCAGCACGCGCGAAGTATGAGTTACTGCCTTCAGTTTCTCACTTTCCAATCAGCCTTGCATGCTGCTGTCCGGCGTTCTCGAAACTGCCTGCGCTTCTCCTCAGGTGTGGCCTGGACTCCGGCTCTGCATTCAGGGCCTTTCCCAGCGAGGCCCCACCGACCCCCTCAAACCGTTTCCACACCAAACCTGGAGCCTCTTGTGGGCTTTTTACTGTACCGCTTGAATAGAGATTGTATAGTTTGCTTATGTCCCTCGTCTTTCTTTTGCTTGTGTTATTTCCCTTTCCTGGAATGCCTTGTCTGTCTCTCTGTCTGTATTCAAGTTGTCTTTCAAGTTTTCCTTGCTGTCCACCCATCCATTCATCCATCCCTCCAGTGGATGGATCTACCGTTTACAAAGCATCTGCTAAGAACCCAAACCTTTTCCCTTCTGCCCAAGAAAAAGAAAGCACAAAATGCACTCAACTGACAAGGAAGCATCTCAATTAGTCATTAGGCCACCTTCAGCCGAATCTCCTTAGGATGCTTGTAGACATGCAGATTCCTGGGCCTGACCCTAGCGTGCTCCTGAATCGGATACCCTGTAGGGCTAGGAATCTTCATTTTTAACAAGTACCCTGAGAGATTTCCACACCAAGATTTGAGGACTACATAATCAGGCCCTAAGTAAGGCCAATTAAACACCTAAAACAGCTATCACATTATTGAACCAATGAGGTGATACCTTGCTTCTCTGATCTTCACCAGACACGTGGCTGCTGTGGCGTCAGAGGGGCTGGGCAGTGGTCGGGGCGGCGGGGCAGGTTTCTTTAAAACTTCGTTCCCACGCAGGAGTTTGTTGGGACACTTCCATGGCTTTCCAGACCACCCGGTGTGTCTGTCATCGAATGTGGTACCCAGATACAGTCTGAAGCTCAGGAGATAGGATGTTGGAATTAGCTGTGCCTTCCCAGGGCCAGATCAGTGTTTCTGCTCCCACCGTGTGGGTGAGGAAGGCCCAGCTGAACTGTAGATGTAACCTGTGGGTGCTTTGCTGTGAGTTTGGGTTGAGAAGTAGTGGCGAAAACATATTCTTCTTGTGTGTTTTTTTTAAAACGAGTTAATCAATGAAAAACATTTTGATTAGGTGATACATGCTTGCTAAATGTACAAAATGTAACGCTGTCCCTCACGGCCCTGCTCCCCAGCCACCCTGCTCCCTCCCTGGAGACCGACCGACCGCATAGTTACCAGTTTCTTTTTCTGGAGGAGAGTGTGAACATGAGCACGCGGGGTGTATTTACCCTTCAAGGCACACCCTTCAAGGCACAACTTCTAGTGCGTTATTCACACTGTTCTGCACCTTGCTCTCTTCCCTTAACCATATCTTGTTGACCACCTCATATCAGTACAAATAGACATTTGTTCTTTTTTAGTGAGCCCGTAGGATTCCACTGTTGGAATGTTTCATAACTGATTTAACCAATTCCCTGCTGGTGAAGGGTTAGGCTGTCTGAGTGTTCGGTCAGCATAAACAGTGCTGCAGTGACTGTGCTCTATGCACACCTTTGCTCTCATGTGTGTGCATGTCTGTAGCACAACTTCTTATAATTGAAGCTCTTGATTCAAAGGGTGTGTGCGTTCCATATTTTGATAAGTTATTATACTTAGTTAGAATTGTATCAGTTTACACTGATACCAGCAGTACCTAAGAGCTGGACATACATTTTGATTGTCCTTTTAAAAATTTAGTTTCCTTTGGCAACCAACTCATAATGTTTAAATATCTTTGTGTAAGCCTTTTGAGAAAATGTACGGGTGTTTACAATGTACGGTTCTGCTTTTTCAGCTTAGGAATCATATATTATACCTGGTAGAAAACTACCAGACGGTGGTGATCGTTGGAGAAACAGGATGTGGGAAGAGCACGCAGATTCCCCAGGTGAGTGTGGGTTTAAGTGTGTCTTTGCTCTCGGACTTGATGGGAAGGGTTTCGGAACAAAAACTTACTTTATTATCATTTGCATTTTTACAATCTTCTCTCAGAGAGGAAGTATTCAGCTCAACTAGATATTTTCATTGAACTTTTAGGGCTTATAATTTCTTTCATTAGCACTGAAGTAACAGTTTTTGATTTATTTTAATTCCAAAATAATAATCGAATAGCCATACTCTGAAAGGAACAATGGGGACTGATTCAAAGAGGTGTAATGCATCGTTTTTGTCCTCAAATAATCATAGTTGAAGAGGAGGAGTAAAATGAATTATTGCTGTAGTTGTAAATACAAATTGACTATTATGGAATTGCAGAGGGACACAGGAGAAAGTTCATGTTAAATTATTGAGAAGTTATCAGAGAACAACAACAATAATAAAAACTAATAATAAGTACTGCATAAAATGATCACTTTAAACTATTTAATACTGTTATCTATTTTGGATATGCATTTAAAAATGCATATAATCAAATAACTACATAACCAATATTAGAGCAAATAAGTACATAAATCAAATAAATACATATAATCAAATTCTACATATACTAATATAATTCATGGCATATAGACATATGAATCATCTAAGTATTTTTATTTAATCTCCCAAACCTTTTTGTATGGTTAATATTTATATCGCGCTGTCTCGAAGTGTACTTTAAGAGTCTTTGTTCTGCAGATTTAGCGCTGTTTTTTATTCCCCCCCCTCCCCCCAGCACTGTTCTGAGCTGACTCATGGACGAGTGTTGTTCCTTGAAGCAGCTCTAGTGTGTGGAAGCTTTGTAAGACCGGGGCGTCAGAATGTTGAATGTTGCCTTGGTCCTTCTCATTATCAGCTCTGACGTGAACTTAAACAGATTACCTACCATTTTCAAGCCTCAGGACCCTCACTTGCAAAATAATTTCCAAAATGTCCGCTGGGACAAGAATCATCCATTATTCCTCTTCTCAGTGATTTGAACACAACCCAGAGTGGCCTTGGGGGAGGTTGTTTCTGGAGAAGTGCTGTCAGAGGTGTACTTACTTAGAGGGGACTTTCCTTGCAGTACCTTGCGGAAGCTGGCTGGACAGCGGAGGGAAGAGTTGTGGGAGTGACCCAGCCCCGGAGAGTGGCTGCTGTTACGGTGCGTTCCTGCTTCTTATTTTTTTGTACTGCAGATACTCTGTCTGTGTGTTCCATTTCAGTGCCTTAACTCTCTTCTCGTTTCCTAAAAGCTCCACATGAATATGACTTTGCTCCTTAAGAATTCTTCGTTTTAAGAAGAACTGTGACCTGATTATTTTTATAAAATTGAACCCTGTACATGATGAAATTTTTAAGTAGTAGTAAGTACAGAGGAGGTACAAACAAACAAACAAACAAACAAAACCCCCCAAATCTCACTGTCCAGCAAAAACGTTGTGCACATTTGTCCACATTATTCTAGGTTCTCTTAGGTTCACGTAAAGAAGGATGGTTGACTGGATGGGTACAAATAATTTTATAAAAATGGGATCAGAGCCATATGTTTGCTTTTGCTGAATTTAACAGGAGAGGAAACCGAGGTGAAACAGGAGTAGTTATATTGAACCTTGGATACATATTTATTCACCATGAGGGAATTTATTAAATCTTGAAAACAAAAAAGATAAGGAAAAGCTTTAGGATGTCATTTGTTTTTGAAACTATGTTATAGGTAGTTTCCTGCTATAAGAGTAAATGAACACACTTATTTTTCCATTTTCCCCCTCCATTTGTTATAGGTGCAGTGCTATAATGTTTATTTCAAGATTTATAAATATACATTCTTTTCTGTAATCATAACTCCCACAGGTCTTTAATTCCAGTTTAGTGTGAATGTTCATCACTTACGATTTCCGTTGCTTCGCCGACCTTGAATTGCTCATTTTGCTTTATTGCTTGATTAGCTGCATGTTATGTGCCTGAGAAGGTTTGATTGTGTTCTTTGTTGATATGAAATTCTTGGTTCCACTCTTCTTCCCTGGAAAGGGTGCAGATACTGCGACCATGACTTTTGGCGTGGAGGCTCCCTGGACAGGAGCCTGAGGTCCAGCAGGGGTTTCCTCCCCTCTTTCCTGGCCGACTTTCCTGCTTGGATGCTTTCACGATGGTTTTTGCACTGGGACGTGTCTTGATGCTGATTGCTGTCTCATTTTTTCTTGAACTGGAAGCACTTTTAATCTTCAGGTTCAAATCTCTTTGTATCAGGCAGGTTTTCTTCTATTATATCTTGGCTTATTTTTCTGTTCCATTTATTTTATTGCTTTTCTACGAGTATCATTTAAGTGTATATGAGATCTCCTTTGTTTATTTTTCGTATTTATCACCATCTCTGGAGTCACATGCTCTTTTCTGCTTTGTTTTGTGAGATTTCTTTAAGCCTGTCCACAATGTTCATGGTTGCTATTAGTCAAGTTTATTCTGTTTTGATTCCTTTGTATCTCTGCCTGGGTCTCGTAATTATGTCTTCGAATTTTTTTTCTTAGTGGATAGAGAAGTGAATATTTAGAATGGGAGGAGATATTACAATACATTATAGTTTTTAAAAGCAGATAATGTCACACGCATTTTTTTTTAAAGTCGAGAAAAATAACAAGTGCTTTTACGAACTAACTGCCTGACACGTTTCTGTAAATTTTTCTTCTATGCAGTTTTTTGGCAGCCTTTCCACTGATCACCTCTTCACATGACAGTGATTTTCTCTTTCTTTCCTGCGGAGAGAGCGATACATCTGCGTTGCTCCAGCGTGGCTGATTCAGACTTGCTTTTCATTATTGACACTGTGGAGAAGTGCCTTTAATTTTGTAACTGGCTGTTTATAGCATTGTACACATTTTAGGGATTCTTCTCAAATTTGGGGAAAGCCTTTCTAGGGTCTTTCCTGTTTTCAGACCAGCTTTTGATCTGTACAGTTGAGACCTAGTTTCTCTTTGATTCTTCTTTGACTTTGCATCTGTTACTTAACTTGTTTTTAGCTTAAGCTTGTGATTTTGTTGAAACTGGATTTCTTTGGATGAATTCTACTTCTGGCTGTTTGTTTGAGGGGTGGGGAGATAATACTTTTAAAGTTTCCTTTTAAACTGCTTTTTTGCCTGTGTCCTTTCCTTCTTCCTTCATTGGCTTTCATGCAATGGGCTCGTCTTAGTACGTTTAATGGCTGCAGGATTGTGAGGTTGGACTGGTTTGGACGACGAACAGCCTCTCAGCAAATCTCAGCCTCCTTCGCTGAGGGGGACAGGAGGATGAGGATGTGGTGGTACACTCCTTAATTAATGAAAAGGTCTGTAATGACTCAAGATAAAATTCTCTGAGCTCTCTGAAGTGGGATTTGCTGCTTGCTTCTGATGGCCTGCTTTCTCCCTTAGCTCCCCATCACCCCCTTGTGAGTCTTTGCTGTCAGAGTGGGTCCCCCGCTGAGACATTTCCTACACCTTCGCCTTCGGAGCCTGAATACACTACCGCTGAGGTCTTCCTGATACAGGGGTTGTTGGCCCTGGCTTTTAGGGTGGCCACACTGACGTCGAGGGGGCCAGCCGCCTGCTCTGGCTGTGGGAGGCGGGGCTTTCCTCCTGGGTTCAGACCCACAGCCTCTGGCAGCTGTCCCTCCTAATTTATTGTTTGGGCTCCTGTTTCCTTCTTTCATTGGGGTGGAGGGTTTGGCTGTTAATATGTTTTTTCTTTTCTTGTTTTAAATCAGCTCTGAGAGAAGGCCATCTTTACCTAGACAAGGAATTAATCCTATTTTTGCTGTGTACTGAATTTTAATTATTGTATAATCTTTTTTTCCAAAGTTCATTTTCCAATTGTCTTTGAGTTAGACATTATTGATAAACATTTCCCAAGTCTTGTGTGTGTGTGAAAATGGAGTTGACAGTTTGGAAACTACTTCACCTTTTTTTGTCACAAGAGATGACTCAGTTGCTTAAATTTTTCCTTTTTGTGGTTTGGAATCCCAGCTCTTAATCACTTTGCATTTTAGCCCCAGATTTATAGCCATGGATCATTTCCATGAGACCACATGCTTTCTCTGTAAAGAATCTAAAGTGTGTATGTTAACCGTGTAATATTAATAGACCTGTCAGGTTTGAAATACTACATCTCAAAAGTACACTGTGTGCAGACCGAGATCTGAAAACAATCTCGGAGCCTCAGAACAGATTGCATAAGCAATAGCTTGTTCTCTGTCAGAGGCGGTTACTACTGAGCATGGGCACTGAGCTTAGAGGGCCTGGGTTTGGCTTTAAGGCCAGGCCCTGCCTTGCACTGTGATTGTGGACGAGCTTTAAGCCTGTCTGATTTCATTTTCTTGCTTTGTAAAAAGGAGGTGTCTTGCCCACCTCACGGACTGTGTATATATTTAATGAGATAGAGTTTGTGAAAGCTTGGGGCATAATACTTGCAGGTAGTTGGTACTCTGTGATTGGTTTTTCTTTTTACCTCCCTTTCCTTACATTTATTTGTTTCTGTCAAAAAGATAATATTTCCTGGCTGGTGTAGCTCAGTGGATTGAGCGCGGGCTGTGAACCAAAGCGTCGGAGATTTGATTCTCAGTCAGGGCACATGCCTGGGTTGCAGGCCACAGCCCCCAGCAACCGCACGTTGATGTTTCTCTCTCTCTCTCTTTCTTCCTCCCTTCCCTCTCTAAAAATAAAAAAATAAAATCTTTCAAAAAATCATTTAAAAAAGAGATAATATTTATGTAGTCCAATTGATGAGGTTATTGGGAATATTGTAGAATTTAATAGAGGTAAAAATCTATTAAAAAGATAGTAGATTATGACCTTTCAAATGTCAAGTGGTGTGATTATAAATACATTTTTTTAAAAAAGTTTGAAAATAAAATACATAGTTTTTATAGCAAATATATATAAATAGTGAAATAATAGGACTAAGTAACTGGTTTGGCTTCTCCCTTATAGACCCATAAAATGGTTATATTTTTATGGAGATAGTTGGTTCATGCCTATTTTCCTCATCAACTCCTAGTATTTCTATGCACATATTCTCCACTTGTACCCTTTTCTGAGATTTATTGTAGATATTGTTCTGTGCAGTTGAAGTGGAAACAATAACAACAAAGCTGTCCCAGTGAACTACAGTTCATCGGGAAGTGCGACCTTCAGAGGTAGAGCAGAGTAGGACGAACTTCTGGTTTCATAAGATGTTTTGAAAGACCGTGTGGTGCAGACCAGCTGCTGGATGATTGATCTGTTTTGGTCCACCAGATCCGCAATTTCCAGTCCTTGGGCAGAGCCACTTCTGATGCTCATCTGCTCTCCGGTTTCTCAAGCACTGATGGCCAGATAACTGCTGGTGTGCTTGGCCTGGGAGCCGCGTGCAGGGAGGCTCTGGGCTCTGGGCTCTGGGCCCGAAGCTGCTGTGGCCCAGTGGCTGTAGCTGTGAACTCCGCTCCAGGCACGTCCTGTCACGGCCCACATTGCAAACGCAGGTCTCAGGGACTGCATGGGGAAGTTGCCTTACGTTGGGTGGGCGTGCCAGGTCCCCAGGACGCCTCTATAGCAGGGGTGTCCAACCTGCAGCCCGTGGGCCGCACGTAGCCCAGGATGGCTGTGAATGTGGCCCAACACAAAATCGTAAATTTACTTAAAGCATTATGAGATTTTTTTTGTTTTCGTTAGTGTTTGTGTATTTAGTATATGGCCTGAGACAACTCTTTTTCTTCCAGTGTGGCCCAAAGACGCCACAAGGTGGGACACCCCTGCTCTATAGTATTGCTTCCCTTTGGTTCTTTTCAGTAATTTATATAGCGAATGTTACACTCTTTATTTTAAACTAAATTATGAGCTTATTGCTCTTCCACTTTTATCTTTGTTTATTATTTCAAATATTTTCTACTAGTAAGTTAATAATCTTTGACTGCCCTTGGGAAGTAGGAGATCTTATTGTTGGATATTTTTCTGTTTCTCACACTCACCTCTCATTTGTCATGTATCAGTGGGTGAAAAGTCTACCGAATTTATGGATTTCATAATGTATTATGCAATTTGTTTTCTAGTGTTCCTTTATTATGTGAACTCGAATCCTTGGTTAATCTTCTCATCGGCTCATCTGCCCTTTGTTATTTTTAATCTGCATTCTTGTCTTTGTTTCCTTTTTTAATGGTTTTGGTAGCTGGGACACTGCAGCGCCTTGTTTTAGGTTCCCTTGCTCTGGAACACTGTTCCTTTGCCTCCAAAGAGAAAATGAGTTTGGCCTGGTATTGAACTTGATCATTGCTGTCCTCCTGCCTTCATGGTCCGGGGGCCAGTGAACGGTGCCTTATTTCAGGGCAGAAGACATGAAGCTTCGTGCCCAGTTGGTGTACTGAAGAAGGCTGGAGGAACAGAGTGAATCTCGTCATTTCTTCTGCTTTCCTTTTTGTTTGGCCTGCAGGAAATTTAGAGCTGAGTTTGTAGCTCAAGTTGGTAACTTTGGCATACCTGTGTTTTAAAAATTTTCTCATTGGCCTGGATCTTTTGCGTTTCATCTGTCATTTCTTTGATCCTGATCTGTAAAATCTTTATGTGATTGTTTGTGCCGTGAATGTTCTTATAAGTTGTCTCCAGTTGATTCCTGAGTGAGGTGGGATATATAAAGTTAATAAATCACAAGGTTATCACACTTTTCTCTAATAACCTGCCCCTTTTCTTTGCATTTTCTTCTGTGTCCATATGCTATTTAAAAATAACTGACCTCAGTCCTGACTGGCATGGCTCAGTTGGTTGGGCATTGTCCTGCAAAGCGAAGGGTCAAAGGGTCGCTGGCTCAGTTTCCGGTTAGGGCACATCCCTAGGTCGCAGGCCAGGTCCCTGTTTGGGGCAGGCCCAGGGGGCAGCCAATTGATACTTCTTTCTCCCACATCAATGTTTCTTTCCCTCCCTCTCTCCTTCCCTTCTCCTCTCTCTAAAAATAAATAAATAAAATCTAAAAAATAAGAGGCCCTTGGCTTTCTGTAGTATGCGCTCTGTACGGTCATTTCTGTGTCTCCACCTCGAGCGTGGTCGGTCTTTCTGCCCACAGGTCGCCGGGAGAGTGGCTGATGAGAGGGGCGCCGTGCTGGGCCACGAGGTGGGCTACTGCATCCGCTTCGACGACTGCACTGACCCGCTGGCCACCAGAATGAAGGTGAGTCGCTCAGGTGGCTTTTCCTGTTGTAAATAGGGAAGACGATCACTTGGGGGGAATTAAAAGCATGCCATAGTACTGCCACAGGGACACCTTCAGTCTGCTGGGGGGTACGGAGCCTCAAGTTGTGGCCCTGGAAGGACCTTGAAGTGAGGCCCAGGTTCTGTGGATGAAGCGCTGAGGACCAGGGAGGTTGAACAACTCGCCGGTGTCATGTCCCCGTCAGTGGCAGAGCCCGGCCTCGAAGCTGTCCTTTCTTATGTGTGTTTTACTGTTTTCCCACCGAGCCGCACAGCTGTTAAAATACACAAACTTGCCTATTAAAGGCCTAAAGCCAGAGACAAGGTAGTATAAATTGATAAAAGTTTAGAACCTAGTTTTACTAGTTAGAACTTTCTGATTTTTACAAGATAATGGATTTAATGTGTGTGTTCTTTGACCTGCATGCTAATATTAAAATAATTAGTGCCAATAGTAATTAGCATACAGTCAACTCAACAGTGTCTACCGGGTACCACTGTGCTGGAATCAAAGTCTAGTCAAATAATACTCTGAAACCGTCAATGAAAATGCTTTGATGAAATGAAAATTACTTCTTTGAACTTAAGTTAACCTCTCAATTTGCAACAGAGGAAAATTGAAAATAATCAGATGAGTTAAATGAGCAATGTTATGATTTGTAAAAAATATGGACCTTGTTTTCCAAATTTTGTATTTTGTTACCTTTACAATCATTTTACTAGGTAAAGGGAATATTCTTCTGTATCATTAAATATATTTAAACTAGCTAATTTTTAGATAAATTTCAGTGGATTATATAACCAAATGATTATTTTTAAAACTTTCATGAAAAGCTTTTGTATTCCGTTTGGTCATACTACCAAGGCACTCAGTTCTTAACCGGTGGCCTGTCACTGGTTCTCAGTGTCCCTCCGGGTGTTTACGTGGCAGCTGGTACCAGTTCCAGGAAACGTGTTACTGGAATGCATCTTGCTCTTGTAAACAAAAAGCAAAAACACTAACATACAGCATGTGAGGGAGATGCTTAGCCTTGTTGGAAGTACTGAACTGTTTTTTGGTAAGAGTAACAATATCTAATTCTTGCTGCATATTTCTAAAGCATTTCATAAACATTCATTAATCCTAAGTGATAATAGCTGGCACTCTTGAACACTATATACTGGGTCCTGTGCTAAACGCTTCACATGCACTATCTTACTTAATTCTCAGAGTGACCCTTTGAGGTAGATACTTTTATTACTTCCACTTTGCAAATGAGGAATCAGGTCCAGAGAGGGTAAGTAACTTGCCCAAGTTTCACACAGCTTGTAACAGGTAGAGCCAAGATCTGAACCCCCAGCAGTCTGACACCACAGCCCATGTTCTTAACCACAGTCCCTTCCAGCTTCCCTACAAATGGTATCAGTTGTGATTGAAGTTGATTACCTCCAGAACTGCAAGCCCTTAGTTTCTGGGACATTTTAAGAACAGGTATACTCATGGCATTTCCTTGGGCAGACATAGGTCTGTCTTTACTGCCTGTTCCACAGTACCTGTGGAGCCCGTGTTCAGACGGGAAATGCAGGTGAAACTCAGCTGAAAGGGTTTCAGACCCCAGCTGGAGGTCTCACGTTTGAAGTCCTGTTTGTGGGCAGTTCCCTTGCTTGATAACTAAAATGTTGGGGCATTTCCTCATTGTCCTTATGGGGATTGTCTTGTACACATGCTAGTGCAGAGTTTGTTTAGTGCACTTCAACTTTAAAAAAGAATCATTAACCTACAGTATAAAGTGGTGGTGGGAAAATGGAGACAACTGTATCTGAACATCAATACAAAAATTCTGAGCTATAAAAAAAACATAGTGTAAGTGAATTATTTCTAAATTCTTTTATGTTTTTGTTTTTTAGTTTCTCACTGATGGAATGTTGGTCAGGGAAATGATGGTCGATCCTTTGTTAACAAAATACAGGTAAATGTCTTTTTCTTACGATAGCTTTCCCGAAGTTTCAAAAGCACACCAGCACACGGAAAAGCAGTTGAGTTGGCAGCTGGGGGTCACGTCCGTGTACAGCTGCCCTAAAGCTTTTGTCCTTGCCTTGGCCGCGTGGACCTTGATGTTTTCCTCAGAATTTACAGACAGTCAGAGAGGGGCAAGTTCCAGTCCGTGATAGTATTTGAACACCTGCTGATGCATTCGCCTCTTACGTCCAGGACTGCTGGTGACCGGAGCGTCGCAGCACAGATGGGGCAGCCTCTGTGGGCTGCAGTGCTCAGAGCCCAAACGATTGCCCCTTCTGCCCCGGTGTGTCTTGTCCATCGCTCCAGGCTTTAAAATTGTCCAACCCAGGCTCTGGGATTCTGGGAAAGGATGTCCCACTTGAGTCCCTGGTACGCATGCAATACACCTGTGATCATGCGCCTCTTTGTATGATTATAATTTCTGCAGCTTAACAATTTCTAAGTGGTTGGACTTTGTTCCAGTTCTTACGTGCTCTCTGGGGTTATTATATGTTATATAGGATGTATTTTATATATTTAAAGTCAGGTTTTAATCTGATTTTAACTATATAAATTTTAAAATTTATATATATGGTTTTAAAATTTTAAAATTTTTGATGGTAAAATTTAAATACATATGATTTAAAAAATCTGGATTCCTATTGTAATCCAGTGTAGGTGGTAAACTCTTTGGGAGAATACTTTAAAAAAAGAATCCTCACCCAAGGATGTGTTCATTGACTTTTAGAGAGAGAGGAAGGGGTGGGGACTGATGTAAGAGAGGAAGCACCCCATACACGCCCCAACCAGGAATTAAACCCGCAACCTAGGTATGTGCCCTGACTGGGAATTGAACCCACAACCTTTTAGTGCACAGGATGATGCTCCAACCAATTGAGCCACTTGGCCATGGCGTGGGTGGTAGAACTCTAAAGATAACAATAAGTACACCATTTTCTTCACCAGGATATGTTAATGTCACCATTTGTATTAGCTTAAGAGTTTCCTCCTTGTCGGAGGGGAGTTACATGGCTTTATTTCCACACGAGGTGACTGCATGGGGGCTGAGCACTCAGTCGCCCCTCTCATGATCTGGACGGGACTGTGTGGGACTGGGGGGGTTGTCTGGGTGCTCACGAGCTCCTCCTCCCGACTCGCAGTGCCATCATGCTGGATGAAGCCCACGAGAGGACCTTGTACACAGACATCGCCATCGGCTTGCTGAAAAAGGTATGACTTCGCTGCCAGGCATCTGCTTTTAAGTTTTTGTTTTGTTTTGTTGCCTGATTAGGAAAACAGAGGAAAAAAATTTCACATCCTCATCCATAGTCCTAATCCTACCCATTCAGAGAAAACCCCTGGTGGAATGCTGGTGTGTTCTCTCCTTTCTCACGTGTGTACATACATGTTTTGGCACAGTAGGGGTTGGATTGTATGTGCTGATTTGTGTCTTGAATATTTCTCTCAACGTCACATCAAGATCATTTTTCTCTGTCATTAAGTGTTCTTTGAAGATGTTATTTTTAATGGCTATATAATTGCATCTCAATCGTAAAGATTTTTCCGTTAACTGTTGGGCTTCCGGATTTGAAGTATTTTAGATAATGTCATAGTGAGCACCCTTGCAATGAAATTGCTGCATTCCTGTTTTTTTTCTTTTATTTAAAAAAAAATTTTTATTGAAGAAAGTTTCAAACGTGCCCCAGATAAAGAGGAAGTTTGTGACCCCACATGCCCATCATTTGGCTTCGGTGGTTGTGGCTCGTGGCCAGTCTTGTTTCAGCCTTTTCTCCAGCCTCTCCCACCTCCCTGCTTTTTTTTTTTTTTTTTGTATTTTCTGATTGTTTCCCTTGGACAAATTCCCGGTCACAGGAGTCTAGAAACAAATGGCAGAGCAGTGGTTAAGCATCGAGTCTGGGTCAGACCGCCCGCCCGGGTTCACACTCTGACTGCCGGGCGTGCTCATCTCTGCAGTGGGGACCATGGGAGTGTCTGTGTGCGCTGGTGCGCTTTCCTGTGTGGAGCCCTGACCGCCTTGGAGTGAAATCGGCTACAGTAGAGTAAAGTAAAAAATTCAGTCTGCAGTCACACTGGTGGTGGTGCCGAGTGGCCGCTGCATGGGACCGAACCCCTGCATGTTGAGGAGTTGTTTTGCACAGAGCTGCTGTTCTGTATCACAGCTGTTGTGAGGCTTAAATAAGACAATATACAATTCATAGGATGGCTCTGGCACAGGGTCACCAATAGACTCTGAGGTACTTCAGTGCAAACTAGAAGAAGGTGTCCCCAGCTGGGGGGGGTCACTGACTTCTGACACCGGAGCCTCCTTAGCCGGCATCCTGGTGCAGTGCGTACACTGCCCAGCGGTCCCTAGGGACCCTGGACTAGTACAGGACTTAGTGTTTGTGATTTTACCCCTTGGCCGAAGATTTAGACTTCTGATGTTTATGCGGGTAAATCCTATACTTGCCTCCCGAGGAACAATATGATAACAGGGCTTATTTCACTGCATCTTGGCCAACACTAAACGTTGGTCTTAAAAAATAGATCCTTGCCAGTGTGATAGATACAACAACAATCTCACTGCTCGTACATATCTTTGCTATAGTTTATTCATCACTTCTCCTACGCTTGTTGATCTCTTTTTTCTGATTACTGCTAATATCTTTTTCCCATGCTTCTGCCTTGGTGTGACTGTTTATTGTTTGTTTGCTTCTAAAGTACTTATTTATACTTTATATATATGTGGAACAGAAGTGGGTTTACAGTTGTTCATGTGGAAAATAACACGATAATTAATAAATAGTAATTCAAGAGTGAACTGTCTGTGTACTCACAACTGTAAGTCCACTTTCCCCATCCAGTACAGATACATTCTGACTATGCAGAGACCCAGTTTTACTTTAAGTAAATTCAGATTCAATTCTTAAAGCTCCTTTATACTTTATGTGCAACATTTTAGCTCTTTATTTTGGAAAATTTTTTATATTTATACAATTAGAAACAATAGAATGATAAATCCTATTTTTACCTATGATTTTAATAATTATCAACTTGTGGTAAGACTTGTTTTATCTGTAAGCTCCCCCTCACTCCCAAAAATACTCACATTAAATTATTGTAATAAAAATTTCAGCTACCAAATCTCATCCACAATTTATTTTACAATGACCATTGTTTCACGATGCTTCCTTTTCAGATTCAGAAAAAGCGAGGGGATCTTCGACTGATCGTGGCCTCAGCCACTCTGGATGCGGAGGTGAGCACATCCCCCGCCCCCCGCCTGCCCTCTGTGAGCCCTGGAATCGTGGGCCGTATCTGTGGGAAGTTACCTCTAGCAAGAGCTCCTCTGTGGCAGCGTGTCCTCCCGTCCCCGTGGGGCCATCGGGTGACCTAGATTCCACAGGATCGGCGGATACTCCTTTGCAGCCTGGGGTGGAATTTAACCTGTAATTAACTGAGTTCACAACACCAACTTGTCTTGTTTCTCAACACACTGTGTTTCTCCTCTCACAGGCTTTTTTTCTTTTTTCTTTTTTTTTTTTGCTATGAGGCTCTATTTCTTGCATTTATTTATGACTGTAGCATTTATATTTAGAATTTATGTACAGTTGAAGTTTTCCCTTTACATATAATAATTTCCATGTTACAATTTTTATGGCTAAATTTCTATTATTCTCTTAACAACTAATATTTTAGTTCAAACAGCAGTTCAACTCCACAAGTAATTCTGACCTCTCGCTATATGTGTGTGTACATGCGTGTATAAAATAAATAGGTGTTTACAGTTCAGTGTATCCAAGGCGCCGAGACGGCCAGGGTGGGGGTTCCTAGCTCCTGCCGGCTCGAGGGCGTCCAGAAGCTTTCACAGGAGGGGCATCCCAGTTGGGCTGGGAAGATGCTCAGGAGTTTGTCAGGCGGGCAGGGAGGGGAGGGCACCCTGAGCGTGCGCAGAGCACAGGGGCCTGAGACCGTGTGTGCAGGGGGCTGGGAGTCCAGTATAAGGGGGCGTCTTACCTGCAGGGCCTACACGGGTGGTCTGCCTCCACGTTCATCAGTGTTTCTTACACTCCAGCCTCACCCCGTCCCCTGCTGTTCTGCAGAAAAACCCAAGCTAGCTTCTGCTCTGGGAGGGAGCCTCTTTCTAGACTGTTCTTCCCTTAGCTGTTCTCGTGGCTCCACTCCCCTTTCCTTCCAGCCTTCCTCAGACGTCACCTCCTCGGAGAAGGCTTTCTCGACCCCTCTGTGTAGAATAGGGCCCCCGCTGCTGCGCATCTTCTCATGTGTTTATGTTTTCCTGCCGAGCACTTACCACTACCTGACACCATGCACACTCCCAGGTGTTTGTTTATCGTGTCTCCTGGCATGAAAAGTGAGCTCATGGGCGGAATGGATTTTGATTGAATAGGAAACAGTGGGAGGTTAAAACAGAAAGGTTGGTGGGAGTCAGGTGATGGAGGCCTTACAAGCCGGCCAGAGGAGGAAGAACACCATTTAGCAGCTGGTTGGGACCGCTGGGTGGGTATGAGGTATGTGACATGACCCTCTGTGGTCTCTAGAAAGACCGAGTTGGTGCTGGGTTGGAGAGACAGGAGAGGCGTGGACATGGCAGTCAGGAGGCCAGCTTTACAGCCCAGCTGAGATACGAGAAAGGACTGGTGGCCCCTGGCCTCCCTGTGGCTTCAGGTCGCAAATAACCTGGGTGGGGGTGCGGGGCAAAGACTCGGCGTGAGCGGTGGCTCCCGTGTGCCCTGACCGCGTTCTCAGGCCTCCCCACGGGCTGCGGCAGTCTGCGGCCTCAGGTCTGCCCGTGGTGGCCTCGGGGTCAGAGCTCCGTGGGTGCCCTTCCCCCCATACCTGCTGGAATGCTCTTTTGAGGACCATACCAGAGCGCTCCTGCTGTTGCCTCCTCTGTGGCTCAGTTGTACAGAACACCTCTCTTTTACCTCTTTGTCCCCACCTCCCCTTTAAAAAAGCATTCCCAACAGTTTTTATTGTGTTTGAAAAGCATCATGTCCAAGTCTGGTCTTAGAATGACTGCGAAGTAATATTTACTGCTCATCATTGCCTTTTATAGTCTTTTGGTGTGACATAGAGATTTTAAAAAGTAGGTCCTTCCAGTCCTGGCTACAGTAGTTGGCGTAGATGGACTGTCTGGGAGTGATTTTTAAATGGGAAAGGGGAGTGGGGGCGCTTGGCCACGCGGCGGGAATGCTGTGATGCAGGCGTGCTGAGCTCCACGGTGTTCAGCTGCGCCTTTGATGGGATGGGCCGGGCCGGTCACCCCTTTACCCCTTCACCCCTTCCTGGCCCGTGCAGGGGAAGGTGAGGTCTGTGTGGGGCGGGGGAGATGATCCGGGGGAGGGGTGAGTCAGTTGTGTGGGAGCGAGGGTGTGGGGTGGGTGAGTGTGGATGCGTGTGGGGTGTGGTTTACCAGTTCCCATGTGAGAGTAAGGGAGTGAAGAAGAGGAATGGAATGGAATGGGCCGGAGAGGTGGGGGGAGGGAGGGAAAGGAGTGGGCACGGGAGTGGGGAAGGATGTGGCTTAGGTAGCATATGATGGAGAGGTCCAGGGGTGTCAGAACCTGTCCCTGGACCCCCAGCTGCTGGACCTGTGGGTGACAGACTGACCCCAAGCCTCGCTACCTGAAGGGATAGGTGATGCCACCTGTGCTGGACCTGCCCAGGCCCCCAGGTGCCTCAGCAGGCAGGTGGGGACAGCAGTGACTGCGGCTGGGAGGCAGAGGCAGGCAGAGTGTGCCAGGGGCTGGCCTGTGGTTGCCTTCCTCGGCGCAGCTGCTTCGTTAATGTGAGCCTGATTAAGCAAGCAGTTACGGAAAACATGACCAGGTGTGATTACGAAGTATTTACTGACCATTGTATCACACGCTGTTGTCTTTTTTTTTTTTCCCTCATTTGCTTCTATCCACGTGGCAGAGCACAGGATTGCTGACAACTCCCAGTTTTTTTTGTCACACGTCCAGCTGCTTGGGAAGAAACTGGTTTCTCTTTCCAGATTCCAAGGAAGGAGTTTGGGGTTAGCTGGGGTCGGGTACTCGCTGGGGACCACTCTGCACGGTCGAGGCAGACGTGCTGGCCCGCACGGGGCGGGCGTGTGGTAGGCCTGGCTGCTGGGGGCCCACCGCTGCGTGTCAGGGAAGGGGGCTGCGGCGAACGGGGTGGGCAGCCCAGCGCGCCCAAGTCACTCACAGTCCATGTCATAGGCTGTCCTCTTCCTTTATGCTTGTTGTGTTTCCTGCGTGTCATTGTGACCCCGCGTCTTTCAAACCTGACGCTAACTCTCCTTTTCTAGGTTTACCCGTTTCACTATTCTGATCCCCTCATTCTGCCTCAAAATGTTTGCACTGTTGATACTGTATTTATCTGCTTTCTAGCCTGTAATTTTCTGTGCATATTTTATATTTCCAAATAAAGGTAAAAGACAAAGATCTAAAGGATTAGGACCTTATGCCCTCTCAGTTAATGCTGAATTTTATGTCTTGAAAGAGTGACATCCTGTGTTAACTCTTCAACACACGTACCCCTGAGCAGCCGAGGGGCAGCTGTTCGCTCCACCAGCACCATTGAGGCATCAGCTCCCTCCCTGTTCTGCTGGCCCTTTTGGTCCAAAGAGCCTGTCTGTCGAGCCTTCCTAAAAAGTCTCCTCCTCCACCTGCAGCTTCCGGAGCCTCTGTCCCCTCTCTGCTGTGCTTGAGGCCGTCTTGACTAGTGTGCCTGTGCTCAGCCTGAGCTGCCAGCAGCTGGCTAGTTGCAGGCCATTGAAACTCATAGACCTGTGACTCCTACCACTCCGCGACTCTCAGCTTCTCCACGGCGGCCCCTTCCTCAGTGTGACAGTCATTCAGGCCCAGAACGTCCCTTGCTTGGGGGCCTGACTGAGGGAGAAGTAACCCCGTCCTCCGCAGGGAGCCTGGGCGGTTGCTCACACCCCCTGACTGCCAGGTCCCACCAGTCATGACCTCTGGAAGCTCTGCTTTCCCACTGCCCCGCCCCGCCCCGCCCCGCCCCGCCCCGCCCGAGTGCACACTTTCATTCTCTCGCCTCAGAGCTGGAACAACACCTTCCTTAATTAGTCTGCCAGCCTCCAGCCTCTTATCACAGCTGCGCTTCTCCAAAGGGGCCCAGAGCCAGGCATCCAGGGCACAGGTCTGACGGTGTGCCCGTCCCACTGCCCTGGCCTTGCCGCTCTCATATAGTGCCCCACAGCGTGACATTGGGGCCCCTTTGGAGTGATGACAGTCACTCAGTGTGTACTCACCCTGGATCGCACTTTATCTGAACTGTACAACAGTCTTGCAGGGTAGGTAGCGTCTGTTCATCTTGTAGACGAGGGTAACTCAGAGCCGAGGCTGGTCTGCCGTAGACCCTGGGCTCTCCCCTGTCAGGGGCCCCTTTGCAGCCTAGTCTCCACTCTGCCGTCATCCTGGGGACGGGTGTCTTTCCCCTTCCTGGTCGTCTGTTAAGGCTTAGCCGTGGAGCCTGCCCCTCCGTGCTGCCTTCCCGAGAGCCGGCCCTGACCTGTCACTGACCTGTCCCTCTCTCCAGCTGTAACTGGCAGCTCTTCTGGTCACTTAGTCATTCTGCCTCGTTGTACATTATGGTTGGTTCTTGGCTCGCCTGCCCCTGGATTATTCACCCGTTCGAGGCTTTGGGGGTGTCTCTTCTCACTTGTTTGTGTGTGCGTCCCTTCTGGCGTGCCTGCGCTCCCTATGTCACAGGGCACAGGAGGGCTGCAGCCACTCGGAGGGCGTTTTCCCCAGAGGGAAGGGGGAGTGGGGCCCGTGGTTCTTCACAGCACAGGGCAGTGCTTCTGCTGGCACGAGGCGCTTCCATGTCTGTGCCTACTCTTCTCAAACACAGCTTCAAGGTTAACGTGTAGTATCCGGATTTTGCAGCCCAATCCAGTTGACTCTCTTAGAAACGCTCCTCCAAGCCCATTCATTTTGTGTTCGATGCCGTGCACCCCTGGGCTGCCGGATTCCTGGAGCAGGCATGGGCATGCTTAGAGAAGATCCCTGGGGGAAGTAAAGACGGGACTCGTGGTCACGTCCTTAGACCTGCTGGGAGGGTGAAAACGCATGCCAGGCCTCAGGGGAGCTGCATACAGTTCGGGGAACAGGAAGGTCGTTGAGAACCAGACACTGACTCACTCCACCTAGTGGGACGTCTGTGTCCCCTCGGCCGCTGGCACAGCAGCTTCCTGTCCAGCACTCACTCTCCAGCAGGTCTGGTCACTGAGCTCTTCTCGGGCCCCGCTGCTCCGTGTGTCTTGGGTGACACTCCCTGAGAGGGGACCTTTGATAGTGTCTCCCTGCCCCCCGTGTTGGCTCGAGCGCTCATTGCAGGCCTCCCTGTAGACTGCCTGCCCGGTGGTCAAGTGCATGGAGGAGGATGTGGCCACCACCTATTGGGAGGAACCGCCAAGAGCCACTTCTCCCGACAGGGTGCTGTGGGAGTGTCAGAGCAGTATCTCATGGATGGCCTCCCGGTGCAGAGTGTTGTGCCCGCTCCGGTGGGGCATTTAAACATGGAGAAGGCACTGCCCCTGCCGTGAAACAGCTGAGATCCACTGGGGAGGTACAGTGAATGTGTGTCTGTAACTGCGGTGCCAGGAGCTTGCCTGCTGGTCGCAGAAGTGCTAGTGTCCTTTATAAACCGATGGCCTCGGGTGATTGGATCTTTGCTTTCCAGTCAGAAGTACACATCCGCCTGCTTTAGCCTCTGTTTAACTTGAGTCACACGTCTTGATGCAGTTTTCGGTTACATGAAATACAGGGGATAGGATAAGATGAATAATACCATAGCCGCATGTTTACTTAACATGTATCAGTGAATACAGCTTTGAAGTCTGACCTTTATTATTTTATCAAACCTTAGTAAAGAGCCTGTCATGGAAATGTGACTCCTCACAATTGCAATAATAAAAATGATTTTTAATAACTGTGTTGCAACCTGTAGTCTTTATTTTATGTCTTCAATTCCTCCTGTGCCCCGTGCTCTGCCAGTTGGTATCATGTTCTTTTTCCCGGGGTTATTCTGAACCATTTTTTTTAGAGGAATGAAGAACTGATTTTTTATTTTTTTTATTTTTTTTATTTTTTTTTAGAAATTCCGGGATTTCTTTAATCAGAATGAAACCAGCGACCCCACCAGGGACACGTGTGTGACCCTTACAGTGGAAGGGCGGACGTTTCCAGTGGACGTCTTTTATCTGCAAAGGTTTGGCGATTCCCGAGTGTTTATCGGTGGGGATTGGAAAGCTAGGCCTGTGTGTGGAAGGGGCAGCAGCCGCCTGTTCTCCGAGGGCAGTGTGCCAGGCGGGTGAGGAGGGGCCTCCTCTGCATCTCCTGTCATTGTTTTGTGTCTTCTGTCATTGATCTGATGTTCTGGAACCTGGGTCCGTGTCACTGCCAAAGTTAGTTTAAACTTTTGACACGGATGGGCGCGTTCCTGTGAACCCGTGGTCAGTAGCTCAGAGGGACAGAGCAGAGTGGTAAGGAGGTTGGGGGAAGGAGGGGCCGGCGGTGTTCAGAACTCGGGTTTATGAGACTGCTGTCAGTGCGGGTGGTATTGGCGACTTGCATCCTTTGGTTCTTCCTTTTGGTTCTCAGCTCTGGACATCCTAGCTAGGAGGCCTGGCTGACATTTCTGGGAGGAGCCCTCTTGGGCAGGAAAGGGTCATCCTAATCCCTACCCCGAGTCACTGGACAAACAAAGACAGTGGGGATAAATCCAGGGAGGTGTGGGCTCGACCTCTGAGTCATTCTGGTCCGGCAGCAGCCCCATCGGCTCCATCTTCCCTCCGACACGCTCCCAGTGGATGAGGGGCACGTGGGCAGGGGTGGGGTTTGGCCCTGGGGACAGCCCCGTTTTCGCTGGCCGGGCAGCTCTGCGTGCTGAGGATGTAGCACATTGGTGTGTGTGGGTCTGTCCTTTTTATTCCTTTATAAATGAAGCAAAAAATCATAGCTGCAATGTGATTTTGAATCATTTTTACATGCTGCACTTCAAAAAAGAAGAAAGTGGATACTTACTTTATTTATTCATGTACTGATTACTGCTGGGCAGGCCTGTACTAACTTCCGTGAGATGCTGCTGCCAGATTACCAGGGTTATTGATCTGTAACTAGTGTGTATGTTCCAGTGATGACTTTATCTCTTATATCTTTCAGTCCTGTTCCAGATTATATCAAATCAACTGTAGAAACCGTGATGAAAATTCACCAGACGGAGGGAGATGGAGACATATTAGCATTTCTGACTGGCCAGGTAATTCCATTGGACCTGTGTTCTGTAGTGAGCAGACATGTTAAGGCAGCATCAGAATTAATACAGAGGCCTGTTACTTTGCTTAGCTGTTTATTTCATGTTTTATTGTATTCTGTGGTTACTTTATTGCAAAAAGAGAAATTGTCTGGTATGACGGCATTCTTCTACTGACTACATTGTTACGGAGTCACTGGCTCCTGCCTGTTCTGCTTGCAGAGGGTCAAAGGTAATTTCAATTTACTAGCTGATTCCAGAGGGTATTACACACTTCATTCAACAAGCTGTTTTGCTTCCTAAAATTGAACATTGCACTGGGTGCGTTTTGTGTGTGCATGCCGTTGCTGCATGCTTCTTCCCCAGTGACACCTTTGTAGCTTGTCCTGAGGCTGCCAAGTGGGCCCATCACTGGAAGGACAGCTGCACGAGCCCAAGTGCTCACTCAGGGCTGTAGCGCTGTTCAGAACTACGCTGTGGCTACGGTCTTTTCCACTGTCGAGCGTCTTCCATGGTCAGTATATGCCACAACTTGTCCGTATGCATGCAGCGCTTTGTCACAGTGCCAGACGGTTGAGTTAAATAGTCATTGTGTTTGTTTATCAGGAGCCCTTCTAGTTAGCGCAGACAGAACAGATTTCTCTGAGTGATCCGACCGCTGCAGATTCTCACCCCGCAGGCGCCGTTGTTCAGTGGCGCTTGATCGCACACCAGCCCCGAGTGAAATGTGGTCACACTGGAAGTCCTGAGCCCGACCACAGTTAAAACCCTGATCCACACTTCTATTTCCTTCACGTGAAGAAGGGACGGGCCTCAAACTGACCGTGGTTCCCTGGGTCCCTGGGTCGGTGTTTTTCAGGAGGAGGTGGAAACCGTGGTGTCCATGCTGATCGAGCAGGCTCGCGCCCTGGGTCGGACGGGGATGAAGAGACACCTCCGGGTTCTCCCCATGTACGCAGGGCTGCCTTCCTTCGAGCAGATGAAAGTCTTTGAGAGGGTGTCACCCAGTGTCCGGAAGGTGAGACTAACCCGATGACCCACAGCGTTTGCGACATTTGTGTTCATTTTGGTGCCCCTTTGCTGTGCCCTGGAAAGATTGTTTTTTTAGATTGAAATGAAACCTGGTGTACAGGCAGGTTTCTTGAAGAATTTTAGGTCCATGTCTCTGTGCACTCGGTCTAAAGGCTCACAGTAAATATTGTGTTGGAAAGGAACCTGCAGAGGTGCCGCCCTGATGGCAGTTACAGAGCAGGTGATTTCTCGGGGCTTTTTCCTGCCGCCTACTGTTGTCCCGTGACACAATGCTACCTGGGCCTGAAGGACCGTGCTGCTGGATTGTGATTAATTGGGAGCAATGAATCTGTTACCGTAAGTGTTTCCTAAACCATTTGTTTGAAGCATCATTTTGCCTGTAGAGCCAAGTTTAAGTCAATTAATTCAAGGTGTGGTTTAAAAAATATTAAGCATTGAAATTGGGGTGTGGAAGGGTGTGGTGGGAAGCATCGGTTTGAAGGAACCAGCAGGGAGCCAGCATGCTTCCCGCTCACCTTCCCCTGGGCCTTACTCCCCTTTCCCTTCTGTTGGGCGAGGAAGGCCCAGGACTGGCCTGGAGCTGGCTTACAGGAGCTATGTATGAGCAAGTGGCAGGGAGTACAGTAGCTGAGGGATGGCCGGATGCTGCGCTCCCGTTTCGGACCACTTGGAAGAGGGTGCTCTCAGCTGCCTGGCCACCGGGATGGAGCAACTTGAGTCTGCCCAGTGAAACGTGACCTGTCAGGAGGCCTGGGTTCTGTGCCTGGGCTACTCAGCCTCAAGTCCAGGAGTTTCTGCCGTAAAACATAGATAATAAGGACTTTTAGATGGATGGTTTTATAGCACAAAATCTTACATGTGTACACATAAAAATGGTTGGAAGGTTTTTATGAAAGGATCAATGAAAAGGTGCCTTTAAAAAGCTCTGAGTGCTGTCTGTACACGCCCCTGCTGCTTCAAATCCTCCAGGGCAGCCCCAGTGCACCGGGAGTAAACTGCGGACACCTCACGGTGGCCCAGAGGCTGCGCACGGCCTTTCTCTGCCCCCCTCCGACCTCGTCTGTACTTCCTCTGGGTTCCGTTTCTCCTTCCTTTCAACCGTTTCTTCTGCCGGGATCTCTGTAGGGCCGGCTGCCTCTCGTTACTCAGGTCTCAGCTCCAAGTCAGCTTTTGGCCACTTTCGCTGGCCATCCTATCCAACAAAACACACCCCATTATTACAATGTGTAATAAACACCTTAGGTACTGTGTAATGTTATATTCTTACTCTGTTGTGTTTTCCTCATCGTAGTTGTCACTCTCTGAAATTACCTACCTGTTTATGATCATTACTTATTCACCCAGACACTCATGCTAGACTCTGGGAGGGCAGGGGTCTTCTCTCGTTCATTGTGCATCCCCAGCACTGTGCACAGTGCCTGGCAAAGCCCAGACCCTCAGAAACAGCTAGAATGTGAGTGAATAAAAAATGAATATACATGCACGGGGCGGTGATTTACTTCAGTTGTGCAAAAGGCAAAAACTAACACTTGTGGAATATTTACTACAGGTCAAGGACCAGGCTCTAGACACTTTGTGTGTATTTCATACTTAACTCCCCCAACCCTGGGCAGGGGAGGGGGGGTAAATGTTATGTTGATGAGGAATCATGCTCAGGAGGTCAGTTAACTTGTCCAAATGCCCAGGGTCTGGGAGAATTCAAACCCGGGGCACCCTGACCCTAAAATGCATGTTCTTTCCAGTATACCACACTGCCTCTTAAAGGTTCTGCCATGTCAGAAATATCTTTCCATCTTTTAGGATTTTTGAATAGTTTATTAAAAGTGAAAAAAACCAAGTAACTTTTCTTGTTACTCTCCTTTCTTTCCATGGGGAACCCTAGGTGATAGTGGCCACCAATGTGGCGGAAACCTCCATCACGGTCAGCGGGGTTGTGTATGTGATCGACTGTGGCTTCGTGAAACTCCGGGCCTACAACCCCCGGACGGCCATCGAGTGCTTGGTGGTGGTCCCGGTGTCCCAGGCGTCGGCCAACCAGCGAGCAGGACGAGCCGGCCGCAACCGCTCGGGGAAGTGCTACCGCCTTTATACAGGTTAGTGCAGCTTTCGTGAAGTGTGTTTGGTTTTCTCGGCCAGCCTGGGCACTGGAGAGTGTTAATGTTTACCCTCCATGGGCAGGGCTTCACAGCAGATCCAGACCCCTCACGTGTCCCTCCGTAACCTGGCCCCCACCACCTTCCTCACCCTAAATGTAGCACTTCCTCCCTACTGCCCCCTGTTGGCCAAAGCTGGCCCATGAGTCACCAATTATTTGCCGCCCTGTGCTAACCTACTATTTGGGCTTAGGCCTCTCTTTAGCCGTGTGACCCTGTAGCTTAGGCCGTGTGTCTCTTTTATCTTCCCCTTATCTTAATGTGCTGCTTTCTTGCTCTGGGATCCTTGAACCCAGTGGGGCCCCACCTTGGGTTCTGTCTTCACCTCTGGTCAGAGCGTCTTTGCAGGGCTAAGGTGGCAAGGTCTGTCCTGAGAGGCACTGACAGACAGCAAGCAGTTGCTCACTCCTGCTCTGGGCTGTGCTCCATGCTCGTTCTGAAGGAGCAGGATAAATAGCATCAAGACTGCCCTGGCCCTTAAGGAGCCCTCTCTCCCGCTGGAAGACAGCCTTCCCGACAGACAGGGGTGCCCCGGGGCTGCTCTTCCTCCGTGCTTCCTTCTTCCTCCGTGCTTCCTGTGTGAGGGATGGCACTGTGGTCTCTCTCCATTGTCCAGGCTTCGTTTTCACGTCATTTTAAATTCCCGCCTCTGTCCAGTCTCCAGGTACAGTCACTTACCAGATCCGGGGGTTTTATTTTTGTCATTTATCTCTTTCCTTCTGGTTACCGTTGCCCTTGTTCAGTCCTTGACGTCATCCTTTCTTTTGGCTAATGTTTACAGAGCACCTGCCGTGCGCCAGGTGCGGTGCTGGTGCCTGGGTTTGGAGCCCTAGGGCGAGGGGAGACATGGTCTTGGGCCGCACGTGGTCACTGACAGCCTGTGGGCGGAGGCAGACCCACACACGAATGGGCGTATGGTGGTGTGATAGGGTTGCCCTGAAGGAGTGAGCCTTGGAACAGAGAGCAGGGAGTTTCCTGTTGGAGAGGGATTCGCAATCAGTGTTTGGGCCTGATCTTACTGGCAGCCCAGCAGGGTCCAGGAGCAGGGTTGGCAGTGGAGATTAGACTCAGCACACCGGGCAGAGGCAGGGCAACGCACAGGTACGTAGCTGGGGGTGGGGGGGGGGTGGGGGGAAAGGATTCATGGGAGGAAGGGAAAGGCAGAACCTGAGGCCAGAGATGCAAGGGCCTTCCACCACTGAAGGCGCTAAGAAGGAGTGATCAGAGTGGAAAGGGGAGAGCTGAGGTAGTAAAGCGGCGTCCTGAAATTCAAGGGAAGAGAAAGTTCCACTGAAAGAGAAACTTTTAGTGGAGATGGCGGTTGGGAGGGCCCATCGACAGTAAGGGTGCATTAGATCCAGCCCCTAGGCTTTCTGGGCCAACCGGTTTCTGGGTGAAGTTCCAGCGGGCGCAGCTCTTGAGCACGGCGCTCCTTCTCCGAAACCCTTCCGAGGTTCTCAGAACCTCCAGGACTTTTTCCCGCTCATCTTCTCCTCCGCTCTCCACCTCCTCCTCCCCCGCGCTGCCTCACAGCCGAAGCACGCTCTTCCTGGCCATGCCTGCTGGGTTCCCACGCCCGGCCCTCGTGCCTTCGGTGCCCTTCCCCGGGCTGTTTCCTCTGCCCAGCACGTTCTCCTTACCGTTCAAGTCCTCTCTCAAGCGGCACCTCCCAAATTGAGCAACCGAAGGTGCCTTCTGATGACTAGGCTCCTTCCTCCCCTCAGTGTCACTTTCCCTTTGGGTGGACCATGCGTTGGGACCCGGTCTCCGAGGTCACTGTTTCTGGTCTTGCCCCAGTCCCTTCATATCACTGCAGCTCCTCAAAGCCATTGGCCTGTGGCGCCTGCAGCTCGTGGCCCAGTGCTTCCCACACTCAAGTCCTCCGTGGGGTCCAGTTGAGTGTCACTGAGCTCTTAGGAAGCACCTACTTCCTGTTGGGCGTCTTCTCAGTGGGGTTGCCCTCTTACCTGGCAGCTTCGCTTCTCCCGTGGTTAGCACTGGACTTGGGAAATGTGCTTGTGCTCCCAAAAAACCACTCCCCAGATGCTCTTGAAAGGCAACGGCAGTATCCTTCCTGTTTGGAACTTCCTGCTGTTGCCTGGTATCCAGAATCTTCCAGTTAGACCCATGCCCTTGGCAGTCTGTGTCCCACTCCACGGAATATTGGCCGTCTGCTTCTCAGAGAAGACCTTCCCACGGTTCTTCAGGGACAGTGCTGTGTGGTTTGCTCCTTCTCCAGTTCGCTGCAGCTCAGCGACCGAAGTGGAAGTGGGGCCGCCCTCTTGTGGAGGGGGTGTGCATAGTTAAATGTGACCGGCACGGAGGCTTTTATGGGTGCAGAATTCTCTGTATGACCCGTAGGCTTTCTGAATACGTACAAAATGGATTTAATCTCTTCCTCCTTTTTCCCCACCCATTTTGTCTCGCTTTTATAAGACCCCTCCAAAGTCTCTCTCCCCCTGCCCTGTTCTCCTGTCCCTCCCTTCCTGGCACGTCTGTGCCTGTTTTTGCTGTGAGAAGTCACCTTTTGTCCCCGGAGGTACATGTCAGCATCCACAAGTCGCTCTGGGGCAGCCTCTGGGGTCTGAGTGCGGCCCGTGTACTTGGCTCATTGGCTTTGGAAGTTGGATTTGGACACGTTTTGCTCTTTATAAGACTTGGTCATTTGTTATATTCTGGCTACTGTTTTGGTAATTTATTTTGAAATTGTTCTTTGCTTGTATGTATTGTATTTGCCTTTTGGGCTCACTTTATCCCAAGCAGAGGTAATGGTCACTGGGCACCACCAATAGTGACTCAGCAAATACTTGTTGCTCTGATTTATAATTTTGCTGATAAAAAACCCATTAAAAAAAGCATCCTAAAATAAAAGGACAAACTTTCATAAAGCTATATTATCTATAAAGGTATAAATTGTTAAAGTATTTTTTAAGTAGAATGGTATTTCTTAAACATGATACAACTTTATATAATATTACCATGTACATCAGATCCCGGAATCCTAGAGCCCCTTGTTAGAGAAGGAAAAGTGTCCTTTTGTCATAATGATCTCATTTAATTGTGACATTTGACCCCAAGCAGCTCTGATTTCCTGTTCTCAGAGGAAGCCTTTGACAACCTGCCTCAGTCCACCGTTCCCGAGATGCAGCGGAGCAACCTGGCACCTGTCATCCTGCAGCTGAAAGCGCTGGGAATCGACAACGTCCTCAGGTTCCACTTCATGTCGGTCAGTCCTGCCTTCTGCCGGGGCCCCGGGGAGGCCGGAGCGCTCCGGGGAGGGGTGTCAGGACATTGTGACAGAGCACGTCTTCTTGCCTTTTTCCTTTCTTCTTCACTTAGCGCCTGCGTTGTGTGCCTGCTTTGTGTGCGTGCACAGCCCGGGCGCTGTGCAGGGTACAGGGGGACTGTAGCCACATCAGGCAGACACGGTTCCTGTTCTTGCCTGCTGGGATGAGAGACAAGTAACGGGTAATGACAGTGCATGTGCCCGGCGCTGGGAGAGACAGGGGCAGGGCCCCAGGCCCTGTTAGTCGTGACAGAGGTGAGACGTGAAACTCACGTGGCATTTCACCTGGTCAGGACGAGGAGGAGAGGTCCAGGACGGTGAGCACATTGGTGGGCCCGCAGGGGAGAACATCACAATTGGGGGGGGTGCCGAGAGGCTTTGGGGGAGCTGCGGGGAAGGTTCTTGTGGCGGGTTGCGTTTCTGCTGACTTCCCAGGGCAGGTTTCCAGGTGGGAGGTCACTGGCCCGAGGGCCGTAGTCGCTCTGTAGGCCCTTGGCAGGTGGCCAGGCTGCTTTGCAGGCATGAGCTCTGGCGGTGCGGGAAGGCCCCACACGCTGTGTCCCCGTCACGCCGTGTTGTTTCCTGTAGAGCTTTGCTAATTCGGTTGGTGGCAGGAGGAAGGAAGGTAGGAAAAATACCATCCGTACCTTATAATTTTGATTTCTCATAAGATAGTTTTTAAAAATTTATTGTCCACTTTATACTTTTGCATTGTTAAGCCATTTATCTGTTAGGGTTGGTGTTTGTTAGTGATTTTCAAGAGTCCTTTGACTGTGGAAGACATTAATCTTTGCAGTATTTCTTGTGAATAGTTTTTCTGGGTATTTATATTTTTTAAATTTATTATTATTTTTTAATGTGCAGGCATCCTAAACATCTCCACAGTAAAGTCTTTCTGTCTTTGCCTCAATGTCTTCTTACGCTTGTGCTTATGAAGCACTTCTTGTATCTAGGTCAGCTAGTTAATAAATACTCATTTTTTTTCTTCCTGACTGTGTATGATTTGAAGACGTGCATTTTAACTTCGTTCTGTCCCAGCTGTACTGGCAAATGGTGTGGCAGGTCTGGGCTCTTGGATAGTCAAGTCCCTAATGGCACCTATGTCATCGTAAACTGGGCAAGTGAAGGAACAGAGAGAGAGCACTCCCCCCACCCCCAAAGCAAACAACTGTGGGTCATTGTACGTATGGAGAAAATACATCCTTTGTTTATTGGTGTGCAAGACAAGGAATTGTAAAGAAAAGATGAACAGTAAATGCAAAGTAAAAGCTTATGAAAAACCCATATTTGGGGTGAGGGGTGGGATTTAAGGGAAAACATACAGTGGCCGCAGTGACACATCAGCGTCTCAGTAACCAAAGAGGTGGCAGACATCAGTGAGAAGAAACCTAATAACCACTGAAGGGGAAGCTGAAGGGAGGGAAATGCCAGAACATAGTCGGCTTTTCTGGGAGAGAGAGGAGTGCAGACCGAAACAGCTGTGAGGTGCCACTGAGATTCAGTCAGCAAACACAGAGAGAAACAGTGACATCCAGAGCCCACAGTCTGGGAAGCTGGTTTCGTGCTCTGTCTCAGTCCTCACGGAGGCCTTCCTGGGAGGGGGCCGCTCGCTTCCAGGGAAACGGAGGCCGTGTTGTGAGCCGTAGACATGCCTGGTGTTGCTTCTCAGGGGGATTTCTCCTGAGAAAGCAACTCAAGAGAAGACAAAGAATGTCCACGTGATAATGTTTATAGCATCACTGTTTATTAGATTAAAAAAATATAAATAATGAAAACCATAAACATTAGACAACTGAAAAATGAGGAGGATACATAGAAATTTATCTTCTTGTAGTCCCTTCTGGTTATTTCCCCCTGAAGTGGTGTTTTTCACAATTGAAATCACAGGGTACATGCAATTTTGTGTATTTTGCAGTGTTCATTACAGTAGCAAAGAACTGAAAACAGTTCATTTGCCTAGTGGTAAGAAGATTGCTTATTTTATAGAATAAGTATGACCATGTTGGAAGGTTAGCCAGCTATCCTAAGCAATCACAGAAATTTCTATGGGTACAAGAAACAGTGAAAACAGAAAACCGTACAGTGAGAAAAACGAGCTAAAATTCTACGCACCCAGTCCCCTCAGCTGTGTTAAACAGTGTTTCCAAGTGACCCCCAGTCAGATGGGGCCGTAGAGGGATGCTGGTGGCTGCGGAGGATGGGTGTTAGGGCGAAAATACCAAGGCTGTGATTTGTGGGGTCGGGGAAGAGGTTTTGTGTTGCCGATTGATGATGATTAATTCAAAGAGCAGCATCAACAGGGGACTGGGTGAGCGACTGGAAACAGTGTCAAGCATCGAAAAGAGTCACAGAGACGCCGTTAGTTGTGTCTGTGAGTTTGCAGAACCCAGTTTGGTGCTTTGCCGTTCCTGCTGTCATGTCTCCCGTGCCCTCGGGGTGGAAGGCCCCCAGAGGGCTCACGCTCCTCTATGCAGGTGCTGTGCATTTTGCCTCTTTTGTAAAGTTGGGTGTCAGAGGCACTGAGGAAAGGCTAGTGAATGGATTCCATGATTTAGTCAACTATGGTTGATTAAAGCCAGAGGGCGACAACGCCCTCTGTGTGGTGAATTACGTCTCGTGTGTGTGTGTGTGTGTGTGTGTGTGTGTGTGTGATCATCACAGACATTAAAAGTACAGCTTTGTTCCTTGGCTGTCAGTGGGTGGGGTAGAGTGAAAAAATGAGGCCTGAGTTCAGTTTCTGGCTTTGCTACAAGCCACTTACCTGGCTGTGTTCAGTGTCTTTTATTTATTGTTATTCACCGTCTTCATCTGTAGCATTGAATGAAAACAGTGTGGTACTTAAAATGTTTGCTATGCGAATGCATGTAGGGAAAACCACGCAGTTTGAAAAGTACTGCAGTTTTATCATCTGGCTTATTATAAACAAAATAATTGAGCAGAAAACATAGTAATGGTGCTTGGCAGTTAGTAGATGCTCAGTAAAGATTTGTGGAAGGGAGGAAGGAGGGAAGGATCTAGAGATCTAGAAAATCTAGAGATCTGGAAAGATCTAGAGATCTAGGAAGATCTAGAGAATCAGACTGAAAGTCCCAATATCAGCTTGGCTTAATGTCAGATGACCTAGCATTCTCTGTTATGTTCAGGAGTTCAGATTCACCCGTGTGTCCGTCACCCCTTCGTAGGCAGGGCTTGGAGCAGGGCTGTGGCTGGTGCGAAGATCCACCGCCAACCAGTATTCCAGTGTAGTGGGAGGTTGAGACTGTGCAGTAAGAATTAGCACCATGTGGTGAGAGTTTAGGAAAAGCAAGGAAGTAGTTCGAGGTGGTCCACTTCTCATGGGGGGAAGCCTGAGGAAGGGCTTCCAAGGGAAGTGTTCAGTCAAACTGAGAGTAAAGGCCAAGCAGCCCTAAGGACGCTGAGAAGGGGAGGAAGGACACTTCAAGGGGTGCCAGCGTCAGGAACAGGAGCCTGGAGGTCGGGAAGTCTGGGGCTCGTGGAGGGGAGAGTGGGTTTAAGCAGGAAATAGTCACATTATTACCCGTCACCGGAAGACATTAACTTAGGAGGATTTTTATGTTTTTACAGCCCCCTCCAGCACAGTCGATGGTTCAAGCGTTGGAGTTACTCTATGCCCTGGGAGGTATGCCTTTCTCTTATTACGCATTCTCTGGTCCCCTCGCTGATACACAGTGTTAGTTAGGGCATAGTCACTTCGGCGCTCTCCGTGTCTTCAGGAGTGGCATCGGTTCCCCCAGTAACAGCATGTGAAGTCTGCTCATGAATTCATGAAGCATGTCAGGACATCTAAAGTATTAATGACCATCACCAGAGCCACCCTCCTAAGACATCCAGAAGATTCTCTACCAGTATTTCAGATATTGCCTCTCCAGGCCTTTTTCTGTGTCCCTGCACCCTGTCCAGAAATTGGTGGCGTGGCGTTCTCTGCCTCGCCTTCAATTCTCCTGGAGCTCCCTGCGGAGGCCTGGGTGGGACGCCGTCCGGGGCCTTGTGAGGCCAGGACGTAAATACCACGTTACGGAGGAATCTGGATTGTTGTTTGAGAAACGTGGTTATTTCCCTTAAGATAGAGAAAATCGTTGCCTAAATTCACCCCCTCGAGAAGTACATACTTTTTCTGTGAATAGTGTGCCCTACGTGAATACAATATTCGTTTTGGTATTAGGTTTTAGGGGAGGTTTTGTCTTTGGATGTTCTTTTTTTTTTTGCTTTTAACATACTTGTTGAGGTGTAACTCATCCATTGAAAATGTGCAATTCCGTGTTTTTTAGTATATTCACAGGGTTGTGCAACCCTCACCACGAGTTCTGAATATTTAGAACACCTTTATCACCTGTGCCCATCAGCACACACTCCTATCCCCCCCGCCCCCGCCGGCCTGTAGGCTTGCCGCTTCTGGTCATGTCACGCAAATGGAGTCGTGCAGCGTGTGGTCTTCTGGGATGGGCTTCTTTCCTTCAGCATGGCGTTTTCATTCATCTGTGTTGTACCACATGTTGACACTTCATTTCTGTTTACTGCTGAGTGAGTAACTTATTATATGGATGTACCGCATATTATTCGTACCCGTTTGTGAGCTGATGGCCTTTGGGGTTGGTTTCCTCATTTCAGCTGATGTCCACGATGCTGCAGTAAATATTTGTGGGCAGGTTTTTGGTGGACACCCCCACCAGCAGCGTGCGGGCATTTCCAGTTTCTCCAGAAGTTGCCAATACTTGTTATTGTCTGTCTTTGTGTGGTAGCCATCCTGGTGGATACGACGTGGTATCTTGTGGTTTTGATTTGTGTTTTCCCAATGACTGATGACGTTGAGCACCTATTCATATTCTTATTGCTACTTGTGCATCTTCTTTGGAGAAACGTCTGTTTAAATCTTTTGCCCATTTTTAATTTGGGGGTGTTGTCCTTTTATTATTGAGTTGGAGGAGTTCTTTATATATTATGTGTACACGTTTCTCTTCATGTCTGTGATTTGAAAATATTTCTCCCATTCTGTGGGTTGGCTTTTTTCACTTTTCCGATGGCATCATTTGCCATACAAAAGTTTTAAGCAGTTCAGTTTATCTGGTTTTTCCTTTGTCACTTGTGGTGTCATAGCTAAGAAACCATTGCCTGACTCCCAAGCATGAGGATTTTATCTGTACGTTTTCTTTGAAGAGTTTTGCTAGTTTTGGCTGTTTACATCAATAGGTTTATGATCCATTTTGAGTTAATTTTTTTGTATGGGGCGAGGTAGGAGCCCGTCTTCCCTCATTATATTCACGATGCCTCCCTGCGAAGGAACAGCCAGTTGCTGATCGCAGCGGCCTCCCGGTGGGTCTGCATCAAGTCGGCCCAGAGTGAGCATGTGTGGGAGGAGGCTCCCACCTCCTGTTCGCAAGGGTTTGACGGGAACTTGAAAGCAGGGCTTCCTGGGGTAATTTGTAATGCAGATGGGACAGTGTTGGCTGCATAGAAGTTTTTCATTTGGACTGATTTTCCTTCAGTCAGAATGACATTTAAAATATTTTCTGTTTCTTCACTTCCCTAAATTAGCTGGAAGAGGTGGAGGGAAACACCCAAGTTAGTTTAGTTTCAAGCTGAATTATCACCTTTAAAGAAACAGTTACATGGGAATAGCAGAGAAATGACCTTTTCTGTCTTAACTCTGAGCTCTAAAGCAGTTGTTTTAATGCCACATCTTGGGAACCACAGTGAAACAGTCGTCTGCATCGTGAGAGTTCAGTTTCTAGATGGTGGCCGGCGGTAAAGAGGCGAGGGGGTGTGGGGGATCGAAGGAGTCCTCCCGGCGCAGTGGACGGCCCAGGAGGCAGTCGGATAAGCAGCTCCGGTGTCAGCACCCGGGAGAGACCTGGGCAGGTGCTTAGGTCCATAGGCATGGCCTCGTAGTTGCTCACACAGCAAGTGAAGAACTGGGCGCATAGGCTGTCGTCCTGGAACCACCACCGGGGGCAGGGAAGAAGACCCAGAGGCGACAGAGGGGAAGCAGGAGAGAGGGGTCCTGGGAAGTGGGTTTCCAAGGAGCTGCGGTCTGCAGAGGCGAAGGCTGCCGCAGACCCACAGGAGGTGTCTGTCCTTTGTGTTCACACCGTGTGGGTGTGGGTGTCGGCCCACCCTTGGGAAGGCTGCCCGTGGGGAGTGGGGAGGCTGCTGCGGGCGGGGAGAGCGTGGGGGCGAGAGGAGGCCGTGGCATCCTTTCCTTATAAGGAAGTCCTTGAATAGAAGCCATCAGAGGTATCAGTTTTTAAAATTAAACATTGGAGAGCTCAGAGGAGGTCTTTTCTTTTTTTAACACAACAGCTCTCTGGTGTCAGAGCGGGTTCGGTGGAGCGTGACTCATCTCTTGATGCCTTTTCCAGCGTTCGTTCGTCATCTTCTGTTCAGTCAGCGACTGGACGTCCTGTGACTCGGGGGCACACGCCTTCCGACGGTTCTCGTTCTTTCCGCAGGTCTGGACAAAGACTGTCGCCTAACCGAGCCGCTTGGCATGAGGATCGCGGAGTTTCCTCTGAATCCCATGTTTGCGAAAATGCTGCTTGAGTCAGGTGGGTGGAGATGGCGGTTCTCACGGATTTTACTTTGACCCTCAGGGAGCGATTTCCCTGAATTCTGTGCGCCCTGGGGAAGAGCCTACAAGATACGGGGTCCGGCACAAATAACGCCCCTTGGTAATCGGTGCCAAATCTTTTACTAAGCGTGTGATTCTGTAACAGAACAACATCACAGTCAAGCACACCATATGGCATTTTAGGTGAAAGTTTAAGTTGCTGTCCATCTCCTGGGAGACACTCACATACCCTACCAGCCGCACTCTGCGGCATTACTCCTGCTGGACGCGGTGTTTAGAGCGAGGAGGAGCTGTCGCGGAAATCTCTCGGGTTTGGGGCATGCCGCTGCGAACTTCTGATTCCACATCAGTCGTTAATTCAGTACAGACTTCAGTTTGTTTCTCATGGGCCTGGCACCGCCACCTTCAGATTTTCGTTTTAAACAGGGAAGTTTTTGTTACTGGGGTAAAAAATACATAACAGAGTTTACCATTTTAGCAGTTTTTAAAGTGTGCAGTTCTGGGGGCATTTTATGCATTCACGTTTTTGTTGTGCCATCCCCACTGTTCATGTCCTGGACTTTTTCATCTCTCCAGACTGAACCTGTACCCGTGAAACACTCACGTGCCTCCCCCCTCCCCTCCCACCCCTCCCCCGCAGCCACCGGTCTGCTTTCCATCTCTGGGTTTGACTCTCCAGGAACCTCGTACAAGTAGAATCATATGGTGTCTGTCCTTCTGTGGCTGACTCGTTTCACCGATATAATGTCTTCGTATTATATCGAATACATTATAATGTTAGGTATAATGTCTTCAGGATTCATCCATATTGTTGCCCATGTCAAAACCTCCTTCCTTTTTAAGGCAGAACAATATTCCCCTGTGCGCATCGATCACGCTTCGTTCATTCATCTGTTCCCGGACACGTAGGGAGCTTCCTCCTTCCAGCCATCGTGCACGATGCTGCTGTGAGCGTGGCGAACAAGCATCGGTTCAAGTCCCCGGTCTCCCTTCTTTCGGGTGGACACTTAGAGTGCAGTTGCTGGGTCATCTGATAACTCCATGTTTGATTTTTGGGGGGAATTGCCACATCATTTTCCATAGTGGTTACCCCATTTTGTATTCCCACGACCAACGCACGAGGGTCCCCACTTCTCTGATGCCCTTAGGTGTCTGTGAGAACAATCAAACGGCCTCAGGCTTACAGGGTTCTGGGTTTCGAGCTGGCAAGTGTGTTGCTGGCGAGGCAGGCAGCCGTGGGCAGTGGGCCTGGCGGTGCCGTTCGAGCTCACCATCTGGTGTCCTGCAGGGCTGGTGGCCGCAGGCTCTGGGTCAAGGTACTGGCAGCACTGAGTGCTTCCCTGGTCTAGTGGGCCAGGGGCCATGAGCCCTGTTGGCAGGCAGGCCGGCCCCCGCAGAGAAGGGCCAGGAGCAGGGAAACAGCAGAAGGGACACAGCCCACATATCCCCTTCCCCTTTCCCTCCCAGGCTTTCTGCTGGGGCCCTAGGTGTCCACATAAGAGAGTCCACAGTGGGGGTGGAGCTGACCTGCCCTCGGTGATGGCGTCAGCGTGGCTCCCCTGTGGCTCACAGTGAGGGCCCCTCAGTGCTACAGCCTCAGCGCGGCCTAGCAGCTCCTCTCGGGTCCTTGCAGGCCTCCCTCGTCAGGGCCATGCATGGGACACTCCATGTGGCAGGGCGAAGCGCTTACGTGCTGCAAACTGAAAACCAGGTGTATAGTATCATCTTCATGTGCAGTACGGTACAAGGAAAACATCGGAAAATGTCTTTCACTTCTCACGGATGCATCGCGTGTTTGAACTCAAACACGCTTTTTGTTTTACAGGAAATTTTGGCTGTTCTCAGGAAATTCTCAGCATTGCAGCCATGATGCAGATCCAGAATATCTTCGTGGTGCCCTCACACCAGAAGTCCCAGGCGGTAAGTCCCTGCCTCGCGGAGCTGCTCGCGCCAGTCCCCTTGCTCGGGCCGTCGCGTCAAAGTGACTGGGGAGTGCCGGCAGCCGAGGGAGCGGCGCAGACACCAGCCTGCACGTGAAGCTTGCTGCGCGCCTGGTGCCGTGCCACACGGTTCCCGTGCTTCCTCGCCCCCGTGACCCGGGAGGCAGATGCTGTTACGATCTCTTTTAGAGGTGGGGGCACAGGGCAGTTAGGTGACCCCCCCCCCCGTGGTCGCACAGCCATGGGGAGTTGCCCTCCACAGTCCGGAGTCCCAAATCGTAACCGCTGTCCTTCTGACTTTCCCATAAGGGGATTGTCGTTTTTTACGTGGCTCTGGCAGCAGCTGAGTGGGCACGTCCGTGACTAAGGAGGCAGGGCCCGGCCCGGCAGGCTGATGCTGGCAGTGCTGGCTTCGAGCCGAGGAGGGGACAAGGCCCTGCCTGAGCCCCGGCGTCCGTGGCGACGGGAGGAGCGAGTGCTGGGAGGACTGGGAAGGAACAGTCAGGGTGTGAAGAGCACCAGGAGGGAGGCCTCCTGACGAGGCCGGGCAGTGACGGTTCCGGGTCGGTTCCGAGAGTCCGAGCGCAGCCTCGGGCGCCGAGAGGCAGACTTCGGGGTGCGGTCGGGAGGAGAGAGCCCCTCCTGTGGATCTTGTCCTCTCCCCGACAGCTGTGTGACCGCAGAGCACCACGTGTCCCGCCTCCGTAGCCGGTGGTGATGTCTGTTTTCTCCATTTCCTGTTTGCTTGTTTGTCTGTTGGCCTTTTCGCAGTCCCTCAGGGCAGGCAAGCTCACTTCCAAGGTGAAGACACGAAGCTCTCCAGTGTGTCTAAAGTTGCACCATATCCCTTCTCCCCTTCCCACCCCATCCCCTGCTTTGTTTTTTCTTCTAGCACTTCTTGCCGCCTAGTGTACTGAATATTTTGCTTATTTATCTTGTTTATTGCATTTCTCCCACCACTGATGTATTCGCTGTTACATTCCCAATTCGTAGAGCGGTGCCTAGCCGATGGTAGGTGCTCAGCAATATCTGTTTTTGAGTGAATGGCAGGAAGCAGGAAGATTAATTCTGTGGTATTGGATGCAAGGAGAAAGTTCTGAAGTTCAGCAGTACATGTGTGTGCTTGTGTTTATGTTGTATGTGCTGCTCCTCGAATCCATGGGAGCAGACGGCACTGCCCAGGGCGTCCCAGAAAGGGAGATTTAGGGGTGATGTCTGAGTGGGAGCCTGGGAGCGTAGAATGCCCACCACGCACCAGACAGGCTGTCTCCCCGAGCTTTCGTTCTGGGGGCGCTGGGAGGAGTTCCGGAAGAGACACTGACCGGAGGGAGGAGGAGAGACGGGAACGCCAGCACTTGTCTAACAGCCGTGCCAGGTGCTTTATCCTGGGGTGTGTGAATCCCACAGTGATCTTGACAGACAGTCCAGTGCCCCAGTTTTACGCATAAGGACATGGAGGCCGAGCAAGAGGAAGCGACCGGTCTGAGGTCGTTCAGGCAGTGGTAGAGCTAGAACGATGCAGACCAGGTCCTCCTGGCTCCACACGCCATGAGCTGCTCGTTGTATGACGTTACCTCCCACTATGAGAGGCTCACCAGGGTTGGCTTCTACATGCTGCTTTTTTCTTTCCAGATGCGAGTGCACCGGAAATTTGCCGTGGAGGAAGGCGATCATCTCACTATGCTCAACGTGTATGAAGCGTTTATCAAGGTAGGCACAGCCGCCACCTGAAAGGTCCCCTCCACACACCCGTCCACCCTGGGAGCCGGGGTTCCAGAAGTTTGGTTTAAGGGATGGCTGAGACACCTCTCTGAGGTGTGTATTAGATTATTGCCAATACTTCTTTTTATGTTTCTAAAGATTTTATTTATTTAATTTTAAAGAATGGGGAAGAGAGGGAGAGAAACATTCATCGGTTGCCTCTCGCACGCCCCCAACCGGGGACCTGGCCCACAACCCAGGCATGTGCCCTGAATGGGAATCGAACTAGCGACCTTTCGGTTTGTGGGATGATGCCCAACCCACCGAGCCACACCAGTCAGGGCTATTGCCAGTATTTCTGATCCGTGGGTTGGCCCCTGCCTGAGGTTGTGGTGCAGATTTGCCTGGAGGAACACAGGAGTTGTTTCTTGCTTCTTCCTGCCTAGAGACGTGGTACTTGCAGCAGGCTGCCGGCTTGGCCCCCCGGCCCCTCCCCTCCCTCTGTCTCACCCACCCAGTGTTGCTGGGCAGTGCTGTCTGACATTTGAGTAGGAAGTTCTGTTATATTTTCTGCCAATAAGCAAGGCTGAGGGTAACTTGTAGGCTTTAGTTCACTCTTCAGAGCTGTCCTGTGAGTCTGAGACCTCACGCAGCAACCACTCTGCCAGCAGCGGACTAGCTGCGAGGATCCATACACATTCACGTACCTGTCTGCAATTAGCCTCAGGTGATGTTAATTTGTAGTGTTCTCAATACTCTGTACAACTAAGAATGAATAGTACAGCTTAAAGTTCTCACTAAAAATTGCTAACAAGAGAGATCTGAAGATGATGCAGAACAATGAAAACAGAAATGTCTACAAGGAGACGCTATGAGGGGGGAAATGAGATACTTCTCATTTTCAGTATATTGTATTCATTTTTAAATACTTTTTTAGAAGAGGAGAAACACTAACTTTTTCTTTTATCAGAGATCTGAATGGATCTATTTCATCAATAAACAGTTTTCAGGAAAACCCCATCATCTCTTACTGAGATTATTAATTATGGATTAGGTCAGTGGAAATTCGTTGGTATGTGCAGGGTATGGTCTCCAGCCCAGAGCCCCCCGCCAGGGGACTGCAGGCGCAGGCCCCCACTGCTCGTTCTGTGGTTGCCTTCTGGGAGTGTCCTCTGCGACTCACATTCTCCCATTGAAGACACCTTCCTGCCTGGCCTAGACTAATTTCCAAGGTACCTTCCCACAGCAGCACTTAGTCCAAGACATAATGATCATACTTAAGAATCTAGAACAAAATGAAGAAGTGTTGATAGAATCATAGTTTGGGGCTAAATAATAGTAATTTGGAAATTATTTCTAGATTGTCAGGTGTCATATTGTTTGTCTGTAGCCAAATGAAGTGATGAACTCAAGCCTGCCAAGGAAGGGAAGTGTATTTACAAGGAAACACAGGGAAGGGATTCTGTGTGGGAGTGTGCCAGTCGCTAGGAAGGTACTCAAGATTGTCGTTAAGATTGACGACTCTGCTTCTCGGTGAACTCTCACTTGCTCCTAAGTCAGAGAGGCTGAGGTCAAAGAGTGGCCAGAGGGCGAGCACGCCAGCACCTGTCTCAGCATGATAGAGAGATGGATGGGCCAGAAAGGGCTGCTGGCCCTCCGGAGATCTGGCCCCCCTGAGCCAGCAAATGCAGTGGTGGTGCCGTCGGGAGCCTCTCTTCGCTTTTCTCATGCTCCCACCTGGGCCCCGCCCCCCGCAGCACAGTAAGAACTCGCAGTGGTGCCAGGAGCACTTCCTCAACTACAAGGGGCTGGTCAGAGCTGCCACCGTCCGGGAGCAACTGAAGAAGCTCCTCGTCAAGTTCCAGGTGCCCAAGAATTCGAGCGAAGGTAAGAGTGGCTGCCGCCGCTGGGGGCATCCCTCGTCTGCTCCCTGTCGTTGCAGTTTGGGGTTCTCCTGCTGGCGTCGGTGCGAGGTGGACAGCGGGTGTGCTTTGCATCTGTGTGGACGAGAAGCTGTGTATAAAAAGAGCGTATTTTTTTCCATTGGGGTTCATTTTTATGTCTGAGGGCAGTTCTTGTTAAAGAGACTTTCATAAGCCCTGACAACACCTAAGAATCATTAACCTTCAGATCATTGAACATTACATAATTCATTTTCCCACGTAGGCTTTGTAAGGAAAGTCACTTTTAACTGGATAGTACTCACGGCTGTTGCGTATAGATTGCATTTCATGTTCAGATACAGGCATTATTACAGCAGGTGTGTGGGTTTCACCTGGGCCGGCAGCGGGGCCAGACCGACGTGCTGTGTGAGGCCCGGGGTCCGCCTCCAGCCGTGACAGTGACGACTGTGAACTGAGGACACACTGGGTCACACTGAGGAGGGGGCTCTGCAGTTACTGTCTCTGCCTGCCACTCTGTGAGGTGGAGGAAGTGCTCCCACATTTTACAGATGAGTTGTCAGAGCCCCGGGGAGGGGTCAGCTCAGGACAAGACAGCGGGTCACAGCAGAGCACGGTCCGTGCATGCAGCTCAGGACCTGTGCTTTTCGGGAGGTGGCTCCTTTGCTGGTTCGTTCAGCAGTCATCTTCCGAACGCCCACCGCTTGCCGGGCGTCTGGGCGTGCCTCCAGCTCCTCGGTACTCGTGTGCAATAATAGGCCAGCAATCTGGTGGAATATGCAGCTGTTCCCCCATTTTATAGATGAAAATACTGAGGCCCAGCAGCGATGAGTGCCTTGCCGACAGTCACACAGTGAGTGTGTGGTAGAATCAGAGCCTGAACCCAGGCGGTTTGATTCCAGTCTCGTTTTACCTTTGCAACCAAGAACAAGTGCTTACAAGAGGACGAAGACGTGGTCCTCACTCCCAGGAAGCAGTGCAGGTGCAGGGGGAGTCGCACAGGTAGACAGACGGCTGCCGCATCAGGCTGCCAGCCCTCGAGCAGTTACAAGAGTGGGTGCCTCAGTGACTGTGGCGGACAGCGAGGGCAGCAGGTGAGACATGGTAGGAATGCAGGGAGGAAGGCGGCTGGGGTGGGGGCTGGCCTGGGGGGTCTCGCAGCAGGCCCAGAGTGGTGGCGGAAGTCCAGCCAGGCAAACTGACTGCATTAGAAAACGGTAGCAAGGTGCACACTGGGCAGGGAGGGCTGTGGAGACAGGTGCTTGGAGTGAGGAGCATATCAGATGCTCAGAGAACATCAATGACTGAATACAAGAGAGGGAAGAGTTGAGACCTGGGTGATCAGGTAAAGCTGGTGTCATTGCTGGAGCAGGAAGCTCACGAGGGCAGTGATTGGGGGAGAAGCTGACTGAGTGCCTGTCCCCAGCAGAGACTCGACAGTCTTCTAGACTCGTGTCTCTTAACCTATTTTTCATTGTCAACCCCTCACCCAGAAGAAAAGTTACACCAAATTCTTCCTAACGAGAGACATTAAATAATAGGAAATAAGATTTTGTAAGGTAGGGTTGAATTTGAGGGGGGCCTCAACTACTGTAATATCTAAGATTCCCTCCCCCCTTCCCCCCCAAGAACCGTTTCTCACCCCTTCTGTTCTGCGTGGAACTCTCTCATGGGCCGTTGGAGAGAAGGGGCTGAATCTTGGCTCAGACTGTGGTTAGAGATGGAAATCTGAGAGTCACCGATTCTGTGCCGGGAGGAAGCACAGGAGCACTTGTGCAATAAAGCAGGGGCACCTTTTGCCAAAACATTGCTGGTAAGGATGCGGTGAAACTCGCAGCCTCATACATTCATGGGTTTGTAAATTTTACCACCCTTTGGGAACTGGTTTGTCAACAAACTATACTTCATGGAATCTAAAACACCATTATGAATAAGCCAGGCCATTATTTTGTGTACCACCAAGAAAGAAAAAAAAAAAACCGCTGCCAATTATAATTATAAAACACTGTCCTGGGTTCAGTGAGGGAGAGTGTGGAAGAGGGCGAGTCTCAGATTTGACGAAATGTGGCGTGTCATAAACCATATAAATGACACTGTGTTTGCACACTAATTTGGATTGTGTCCTGTGGGGATCATCTAATGGGGAGTCTTTCCCCTTGGAAGATGTTTACTCTAGCAATACAGACACCAATTAAAACGGGACGTTTGAAATTTTTAAAGGATTGCACAGTGTAGCTGTAGCCACAGAAATAATGCAGTGTTAGTGTCCCAGATTGTGTCTTAGGGAAGGAACGTCACTCCCATAGGTGCTGTCCTAGGAGGGAGTTCCTGAGGTCACAGGCCAGCCAGCAGAGTGCTCTCCTAGGTTCTGGTGCCCAGCCTTGGCCTGGGCATCGGTGGTCCAGGGGGACTGGGGGCCCCCGGTTAAAGGACAGTCCAGCACGTTTCCCTCAGCAGCCACTGCAGGAGGGCGGGGACACCTCCAGGGATGGGGCTGAGGAAATGGTGCAAGGTGGCTCAAAGCAGCCAGGGGTGCGGCCTCACGGCACAGGCCTGGGCGCACACGACATGCCGCCGGCGAGGGCCTCACCCAGCGTTCTGTTGGCTGCCTTGGCAGGAGATCCAGATCCGGTTCTGCGGTGCATCGTTTCGGGATTCTTCGCAAATGCAGCGAGGTTTCATTCTACCGGAGCTTATAGGTAATGTGATGCTTGGTGAAGTCATCTATTAAAGGACAGGTCTTAAAAATGATCCACACCGCATAGAAAGCTGATGTGCAGGAAAAGGAGAGAGACTAAATTAAAGAGTTTTCCCTTATTTGTATGGTGTCTGTATCTGAAGATGAGTTTAGCTATGTAGCTTTAAGTGAAGTATCATAACTATGGAAGTGACTCTCAAATACTCAGCTCACCCACAAGTTGTAGAAGGACGAAGTTTACACGTCAGGAGGCTGGCAGTATTTCCATTCTGGTAATAGGGTCACAGGACTAGAAGGAGCCACTAAGATGCTCTTCCCTAGAATAGTCACTTTTGTCACTGGGCAGCTCACACGTTTTTAGAGAACTGCAGGATTGAAGCCACCGCCTACCCCGATACTTTGTGGTCACATTTGGTGGCTTTGGGTGTTGGCCAGTGTTTCTTCGTGTGTGTGACCTGCCTCCCACTGCAGTCTACAGCTGCTGCATTTTCTGCGCAGAGAAAATCGCTGCTGGTGGATACCCTCCTCATAGCCTTCGGTGTATTAAAGCATATACAAGCCGATACATGGCTTAGCTTTCTCTACTCCAAACTAAACCACTCCCGTTCTTTGAATTGTTCCTGGTAGCCTGTCTTTTCTCGTGACTTCGCTGCAGCCGTGCGAAGTGCAGGGATCCTGTGATCTGTTGCTCAGGGAGGGAGCAGCCCCACGGCTCTCTCCCAGCCCTTCTCTGGACTTCCTTTACATGGTGTTTTGTCACTAGCTTTTTCCGCTCAGAAGGCACTACAGGCCCGTCACCGTGAGGTCAGCCGTGTTGTCCCAGACCCTGGGCTTTGTTAATGAGGCCAGAGTTGGAGTGAGGTTTTTTTGTTTTATTTTTTGGCAGTCAGGTCTCTCAGGAGATGGGACCGTCAAACTGACTGAACCTAGTACAGCACCGTACATTTATCTCTGGGCCATCCCGTTTGTCACTCCGGGCCACGTGCTCCGGCCTGTGGGCGTCAGTTCTGCTGCCCGTCACGCGAGCTCGCCTCCCACCACAACTGTGCTGCCCGCGGCTGAGGCGGCGGCTCCGAGGGCCTGGCGTCCTCTCCAGGGAGCACCGTTACCGTGTGGTCACTTGGACAGCCCCACTGTCCTCAACAGTACAGATTCGCAGTTTTTACTGGCATTTGGAAAAGTCCTTTCTCTGGGACCCTGGACAAAAATGCGGGCTACATACACAAGGGGCTTCCCAGTTGGTGAGCCCCTTTGGGACGAGGTCCAGTGTCGGTCAGCTCAGGGCCCCAGGGTGCTGGCCGCACTGCGGCGCCGGAGGCATGTCCTCACGCTCGTGTCCCCGGCACCTGCAGAAACTCCGTGACTGTGGTTCAGGCAGCGACATCCTAAGGCACAAGTGTTCTCTCGTGATCTGACCCGACTGAGTTCTGGGCTCTGTCAATTTTTTTTTAATTAAACTGAGTCGTACCTGCGTTGGACTTTGAAATATTACCTTAGAGAAGTGGATACATCAACACTGAGCTTTCTTTTTCTCCTACAGTCTTTATCTTTCATATTTAACTTTGTTTAATAGAAGTCGTAATTTATATTATTTCTGTTCCCAAGGAAATTATTTTCAAAGAGAGCCTACAGGAGATAAACATAAAGACTGACAGAGCAATATATTTCTAAAATTTTTTCCCCTAAATGTCCACAAGTTGTTTTACTTTAAGTCCCTTGTTTGCGTGATTTATGCGTGACTTCTGGGCTGGCAGCGGGGGAGGGGCTCGTAAAGCGCCCGGGAGAAGATGGAGAGAGCAGTCCTGTTCCTGCGAAGTGTGATCTGGATGCATTTTTTACAATAAGCGCATCTCTGGGAAAGTCGTGCTGCAAGTAGGTAAAATCGGCTTCAGACAAATTCTTGTGTTTCACAAGGACCATCCGCGACGACCACGAACTGCACATCCACCCGGCGTCAGTGCTCTATGCGGAGAAGCCGCCTCGCTGGTAAGCCACGCTCCTGCTGCTTAGCCCCGTGCCTGCGCTGAAGGAGCGGCCTAGTTCTGGTTCGCGTCGGGGTCCCTGTCGGCTGGGACGGGTGCCCTGTGCACATTGGTTGACTTTGTTACGCTGGGCCATTCATAGAAAGTCTGCTCTATCAGGGCTCTCCTTGAGCAAATGGTGATAAACTTCCGCTCACTTAGCCATTCAGCAAACATTCAATTTTGCCCTCGGACCAGATACTTTTAACCCTGCACAGCTATGTGGAGATGAATTCAGGGCCCGGAGAATTCATAGATTGGATGGAGAGACAGACACCAACAGATGCCAGTACCTTAGGAGAAGGGCTTTCATAGAGTGATGTGTAAAGGGCTGCGTTGGCACCTCAAGGCCAAGGGGAGTCAGGGACGGCTGAGATGTTCTGGAAGTCATGTAGGCCTCAGAGCCTCCCCCGTGGATGGACACACTCTCATCCACCACTGAGGCCACGAGGCTTAAGTGAGCAGCATCCGTGCATTTGTTCAGCGCAGTGCCCGGCACACAGAATAGATTCCCGTTGAAGGTGAAGGGGAAATGCATCATCTCTAATTGTTGTGATTCTTGTCTCTTATCACAAGGTACAGGAAATTAGCTCACGCTTCCCTCTTGTCCCAGGGTTATCTACAATGAAGTCATACAGACCTCCAAGTACTACATGAGAGATGTGACCGCTGTTGAATCTGCCTGGCTGCTGGAGCTGGCTCCACACTTCTACCAACAAGGAACGGTAGGGGCGAACAGTCTGTCCCCCAAAACTGCCTGTCAGCCCGCCTTTTCCTGTTCTAGATGCGCACTTGTGCTCCGGGTCCGTGCCTGAAGTTGTCCCCCAGTAGCACATAGCAGACATGGCCATTACCCCGTCCCCAGACCATTCTGGGTAGAAGCTCTACCACTTGCTTATCGTGAAGTGCCTTTAAAAATAACACCTGAGACAAAAAAGAGAATGAATCTTCAGGTCTTTCTCTCACCCTCTGCTCTTCTACACTATTTCCGAAAGAAAGTTCTGTCACGCTGTGGATCGTGTTCACAGGGAGTGGCACAAGCGTTCTCTGATGAGGGTCACCTTGAAGGACCGAAAGGAGGTGTGCCAGTTAAACCGGGGGTTTCAGCCTGGTGCCGGCTGCCGCTGAGTGAGCACCAGCGCTACTGCGGGTTTATCCTCTTCCTCCACGCAGGCCTCCTGGGATGGTGAGGGGGTGAGCCTCGCAGAGCAAGTCAGAGTTTCGTGTTCTTCATTTCTGCAGGAAAATGGCTCGTTCACTGCACACACACACAAAAGTCACAGCTTTTTCTAGCAAGATTTTTAATGGAGAGGTAGTTATATGGGAAGGCTGGCATGAAAGCAGATAAATCAGAGTTTACAAACTTTCCGGCTAAATAAAGCCCAAAGACTTGTTCCGTCCCGCGTTGTGTTTTTAACTGATGTGTTCAGTCCAGTCACGTTCCGTGAGCTACTGCTGTGGTTAGGGTTAAGTCTGCCATTTTGCTACTTATTTCCTATTCGTCCAGTTTACTCTGTTCCTTTTTCACTGCCTGCTTTTGAATTAACCAGATTATTTTCGTGTTCCATATTGTCTCTTCTAATGGCCGTTTATGCTTCTTGGTTTTTGGGTGGCTTAGGGATTATATATGCATCCTTAACACACCACAGTCGACCTGGAATTAGTGTCACACTATTCAGCTGACAGCGTAAGAAGCTTAGATATTTCACTTCCCCATCCTGTTCTTTGTGCTCTTGTCGGATATTTTATTTCTACACTTGTTATTCTGTGCTGTTTCTACATGTGGCTTGTTTCTGTGTATTGTCATAGACATTACTTTTTTTGTACATACTCTATTTTTAAATGTATTTTATTTCTACATATATTTTATTCTCTGTGTTTTAAACAGTTGCCTTTTAAAGAAACGAAGAAACAAGAAAAAGGAAGTATTTTGTGTTCCCCGCATGCTCACCGCCTCTGTTACCCCCCATGCATTTGCTGGGATCCGAGGGTCTGTCTGGCGTCTTTTCCCCAAAGAGCTCCCTCTAGTGCATGTTTTGGTGCACCCCCGCTAGTGAGATGCTCTCTGGACTCAAGTGTTTGAACCAACATCTTTGTTTCATCTTTATTTTTGAAAGATATTTCTTCTGTGTATAGATTTCTAGGTTGCACGCCTGTCCTGTTTTTTTCATTCAGCACTTTAAAGAGTTTATGGCGGTGCTGTCTGTTTTGAGTTGTTTCTGTGAGAAGCCGGTCGTTTTTGTTGCTGCTCCTCTGTGTGTGATGTGTTTTTGTTCTCATGTGACCTTTTGTTCTAAGTCCTTCCTTCCTCTTTGTGTTTCCAGCCGGTGGACCTGTTCTGTGCTTTCGTTTGTCTTTTTCCTGCTTGGGGTTCATTGGGCTAACTGGATCTGTGGGCTGATGTTTTATTTTTATCACATTTGGGAAGTTTGAGAATAGTATTCCTTAAAATATTTTTTCTGCCTCAATAACTGTGTGCCAAGGTTCTGGAACTCCAGTCACACACATTCTAGAGCACTTGTTACTACTGTCCTGCCTGTTATGGGGGCTCCGATTTTTTTTATGCTTCAGTTTGGATAGTTTTTCTTCCCAGTATTCAGGTTCACTGGCCAGTCCTTCTACAGTGTCCAGCCTGCTGTTAAGCCCATCCAAAGAATATTTCACTTTGTATTTTCTGTTCTCACACTTTCATTTGGTTCTTCTTTAATTTTTTATTTTTCTGTTTAGAGTTTCTTTATGTTCATTCATTATGCCCATCTTTTTCTTTAACCCTTCTAACCTGTTATACAGGGGTAGCCAGAAGGAGGTCTACAGCTGTGATTACATGAGACACAGAGTTTATTACTATTATTACTTGTATTATTTATTAAGTGTTGTATTAATCCTTATGTCATTATTAATTTCCACATGAATAACTATAAATCTACTTTTGCCCATCCCTGTATGAGTTGTTTTAAAGGGCTTGTCTGCTAGTTGAACATATTGGGCAATTTCTGGTTTATTTTATCTTTTGACTTCTTTTTTTCCTTCCATGTTATGGGTCTCAGTTTCCTGCCTCTTTAATATTGTTGTTTATGCTGGGCAGTATAAATGCTGTGTTGTGGAGAGCCTGGATTTGGTTGTCTTTTTTGTAAAGAACATTGAGCTTTTTCCTAGTGGGAAGTTAATAACGGCAGATGAGTTTGATTTCACTGAGGACTGATCTAGTCTCCGATGGGGCCAGTCTGAGGCAGCTGCGCTCCTAGGACACGGAGACCTGTCTGATGTCTCCGCGGAGTGCCCAGCCTGCCCAGCGAGGCCTTTGCGCTCCGGGCAGAGCCCCGGCGTCTCCCGCACGGCACAGACCTGCACACCCGTGCCAGCTCGCAGCTCCCAGGCACTTTTGTCTGCCAGCCTCATCGGCCCTGGGCTTGCACACGTGCTGCTTAGCGTTCAGCCAAGGCTCGAGGTCCCCTCACGTAGAGTTCTGGAGCTGTCCTGCGAATGCCAGCCGTCTCCGGCCTGGTTCCTCCGCCCGGCAGCCCTGTCCTCTGTTCAGGACTTAGGTCTGGGCGCCAGGGTTTGGAGAGCCAGGCAGAGACCTGGGGCGAACACAGAGCTCACTTCGAGTGTTTCCTTTTCCTGAGGATTTTAGCCCTGTGCCCAGTGCCTGAAAACGTTTGCATCGGTATTTCATCGAGTTTCACCATCCTTCACCACAGAAGGGAGAGTCTGAAACCCGTAACTTCATCAAGGTTATAGCCACACTGCAGTGTTTTCAACCTCAAATTTGGGTTGACTGGTGTATTTAAAAATTGGGAGATTTCACATTAAATGTGGGCTTCAGGCTCCTCTTGAAAGAAGTATGAAATCTGCTTGCACTGGGCTTGGGTTCCAGCCTGGGCAGCAGTCAGCAGGGACACAGGACGGGCCCCTGCTGGGAACGACACCCCAGGTGCCACAGCCTGCCTCCTCGCTCCTTCCTTGAGTTCAGCTCCTGGGGACACAGGGGCTGTGACCCTGTGCATGGAGGAGTCTTCTTACCCCTCCCCCTCTCGCAGTGGGAAGGGCAGTTGGCTCTCAGAAATCTTGTTATAATACTTAAATCTCATCCAGCCAAACAAAATACATTTCACACAGATCCTCGTCAGGTGTTTCAGCGGGACCTGAGATCAGCAGCAGGGACCGACAGCAGCGCAGAGTGTGGTCTCCGCTGTGTCAGCCTGATGGGAATAGCCCTGAAGTGGAAGGAACTCTTTCCCTTCAGAACGTCTCCGGTGGGAAGTGCAGGGAAGCGATCAGAAATGCAAGGTGGCGGTTGAGAAGCGTGGCCCAGCTGTGAGGGTGCTCGTTGAAGGGATGAGGGGCAAGCAGCTAGGGAAGGAGACTCCGAAAGTTGTCTTAGGCTCTTGGAGAACAGAATGGACCTAAAAGTTGAGTTCTTTTCCCTTCTCAGCTCAGAATTACAGTTTCTTCAGGTCAAACCCACAGAGTTAAGAGTGAATAGCCCCAGGAGTTTGAAGAAAATGGCAGTCGTAAATTCCTGCCTTTGTCTTTTCTCTCCAAATGCTTGTTTTTCAGCTCATCAGCTCTGCTCTGATCACTGCGATCAGTTATTTTTAGAGAGGCTGGGGCCTTGACGAATCACCTGGGACCCCAACTTCATTGTACAGGCGAGGGCCCTGAAACTCCCTAAGAACCTCAGCCCCTCCTTCACTAAACAGTGCAAAGGTACTTCTGCTACTAACTTGTTAGTCCAAAGCTAATGGATTCCTCCAAGGGCCCTGCAGACCTCCAGGGGCGCCCACATGTGGTGGGTGTTCCTTTGTATGCAGACAGTGTAGGCCTCGCGACCACCCCGGAGGTCACTGACCATCCCGGGCTCTGCTTCTGGCACCCTTGGTGACTTCCCATGACCGTTGTTTTTCAGAGCGTCACTCTCGCCCTGTAACGAGGCCTGAAATGGTCCAGAGTCGGCTCTGTTTATGCTCAACATTCTTCCCAGAAACGAGCACCAAAAATGGTCCCACGGGCACGGTGATGTCATCTCCTGTTCCCAAGTGAAGGCTGCGGGGTGTGTAATGTTAGTTCTAGGGGTCACATCAGGTGAAGTGAGAGGGTTCAGAGAAACTCAGCAAGACCAATCAATAGCCGGGGAGAAAAACAGGGTGACCTGTTTCAGTCCTTCCAGTTTTTTTTTCCTGGTTCTCAGAGGTATCTCTGGAATCTGGGGAAAATCCTCTGAGCCAGGGCCTCTGCCAGAACCTGTACCAGTCCTTTCTCGGACATACACAGTTAGAAAGGGACCTCTTTCAGCTCGTTGACACGCGTGTCCCGTGCACTCGGCCGTCTCTCATCGTGCTTGGTGGTGTGTTGTGTCTTCTTTTGCACCCCGTGTTCTCCCGGGGCCTGCAGTTCTCTGCTGGCCATGGGGACTGCTGCCTCGTGGCCAGGTGGGCATGGGCATGCCACAGTGGGCAGGTGGCAGGCCTGCCCTGCTGGCCGCCAGGGCGGGAATTCCTCCGGTGGAGATCTCGCCGCGTGGCAGGGCGATGTGCCTTAGATGTCACTTGGTGATTTATGACCATTAAGGGGGCCCAGGGCGACCTCAGTGATCAGAAGTCATTTATTAAAAACTTATGTTTGTACGCTGTGCCACAAATGCATAGGTTAGAATTTCTAGCACTTCAGGCCAGAACGTGCGTCTCCCTGAATCCTGTTATCTGATGCCCACGATTACAGTGCTGCGCTTCCTCTGTCAGTTATGCTGGCAGAGAGCGACATGTCTGAAAGAAAGCCGTGCCACTAGGGGTATCCTTTTCCTGCGTGGCTTCCCTGCCTTGCACAGGTGCCTGCATTTGAGATGCCTGCTGAAATGATATGCCTCCTCATTTCCTTTCCTCGACCATCCTTCAGGGATTTGTGGAAACTTGATGTGATGTCTGGCCCGAGCCCTGCCCCCTGAGCTCAGGAGTTCGGCTGCAGTGCTGTCCGCACGGCCCGTGTGCCGGGGCTGAGCTGTGGCGGGCGGGGCCCCGGGCTGCTGTGGCTTAGCGCAGGCCCATTTCCTCTGTTGGCCGCTGGCGCTTGTTTCCCTGCAGACTCCTTCCCGGGGGCCCGGCACTTACTGAGAGGGTGTACGTAAACCAGATGGAAACTGTGATCTGGTCGTGTGTGTGTGGAGACTGTGGTGAAGCCTGGTTTCTTTGTCTGGCCACCCCTGATGTTTTTTTCTTCTCTTGCAGCACCTGTCCCTGAAAGCCAAGCGGGCCAAGGTCCAGGACCAGTGAGCAGAGCTGGTGGGGCCCTCTTCTCCGTGCTGCTGCCCCAGCTCCGGGGGACGGCGAGCTGTCCTCGGCTCCCGTGGAACCTTCAGCCGCCCGTGCACTAGCCCCTTCTTCCCGCTCCCCTCCGCATCTGCACTCCTCGCTGGGATTCCGGAGGAGCTGTGTGCGGGCAGGCACCCTGCCGCACGGCACCCAGCAGAGCGGGAGGTGGCAGGGCTGTGCTCGTCGGTCACTCGGCACCCTCAGGACCCAGCATGCCACTCCAACAGGCACACTGTCCTGGCCTAGCTCAACAGGGAACAAGGGGGAAAGTTAGCCAGTCCACCTGCAGCACCATGCCGGTGCCCTGGGGGTTTGCTGGGCTGGCTTTGCTTTCCCTGGAGGGGCCAGGGCTATGCAGACCAGTGCGGCCAGCTGCTAGGTGCGAGTAAGTGTGTGCCCACAGAGGGGTGTGACCTGGGAAACACTGCGGATTTCTGCCAGTCACCACGGGGCCTGTCTGGCGGCACAGGAGATCCCCACACCAAGGCGCTTCTGGTTTCCCCTTTGCCCGTGTCCGTCTGCGGGCAGAAGACTCACAAGGATGGGCGATCGACAGAGAGGACTCGTGTGCTGTTCTCTGTTAGCACAGGTTTCCCTGTTTCACAAGTGGGCTCAGCTTTCTCTGCCGACAGTATCACCAGCTGGGCGGCTTGGCCCATGGGGCCTCCGTGGCAGTAATGCACAGCAGCGAGAGAGCAGCATCGAGCGCAGACCACGCCCTGCATCTCTGTGTAGCTCAGGAACACGCCCTGCACCTCTGTGTGCTGCCCGGGCTCCTGTGCCCTGGTGTTTGCACTGCAGCCCGAGACCAGTCAGACTTCGTCCCCGTCCTGCTCAGTGGCGTTTATTTCAGAACCACGTAGCTCGAAAGTTTATTTTTGTACTGGTCTTAGTTTGTACGTGCCACGTTGGCACCAAATGCGTGTGTTATTTTTATTTCCATTTTATAAACATGTTAATAATAGTGATAACTTGTTAATTATAGCAAACCTTTATACCTAAAGTAAATGCATTCCCTCCCATCCTGGTGCCCAGGGTCTGTAGTTTAAGGTGGCCCACTTCCTTCTCCCGAGCGAGGGCCTGACATTAGCCAAGAAACCTGGTGCTGTGGCGTACAGCAGCCTTTGGGGTCACCCAGACCAGGGGAGCCCCGCTGAGCAAGACCACGGGACCAGATGGCCTCAGGCCTTACTAGAGCAAACCACGGGACGTGGTTTAAATGAAGTCCCAAAGGTGCTCGCCAGTTTCTGATTGGGACCTCTCTGTGGAGAGGTCAGAAGCACTAATTCATACAAAGTCCGGATGTAGGCCTGGGGCTGACCCCAATAAGCTGTTGGGGTGGGAGGTGCAGGACCCACACCCTGCAGGTGAGGCCGGAGAGCCACAAGGAGAGGCCACACGGATGGCCGGGGGCTTGGCCTCGGGGAGCACGGCATGTTGGCTGCCCCGACCTGGGGGTGTCCAGTCCGAGCACATCTACCTGTGTCCGCCTCCTTGGGGCTGCCAAGCCCAGGGCAGGCCCAGGCTGTGCGCTGTGTGCCCACAGTGTGCGGAGAGAATGCTTCAGGGCAGGCCTGTCACTCTGTGGTCACAGCCTGCATGTGTGTCTAGAGACCCACCAGCTTGTGAGGGAGTGATTGTTGCATCCAGCAAACGTGAGAACAAATGTCGGAGACTTTCAGGGAATCAAGGATGTTACTTTATTGGCCAAGTTTAACCTGCGCAGGGGCGAACTCTCAGAGTGTCCAGAGACACGGTACCCACAAGGGGCTGCAAACGAGAGACGCCCCGAGCACTTACACCTAAGTCCTTATATAGGGGCGGGCAAGCAAGCGTTATACAGAAGCAGATGTGGCAGTTCGCAATTCGCGTACAAAGACCGCGTGCGGGAATTTCAAACCAAGCATTCTTGTATAAGGCGGGAAGGCAGGATGTTTGTTCAGTAACCTAGTAATCTCCTGGCTCTAGCTAGCTAGGTTCCTATTTTCTCATGGTCTAAGTTTTCCCCTACTCCTTACATGATGTCCCGATGGGACCACAGCCATCAGGGCCTGCAGGCCTAGCAACGCACGAGACTCTGTCCCCAAGTAGTCCCACAAGAGTTAGTCCCCTTGGGCTCCACGTGGCTTTTCAAAGTCATTAGTGAAGTTTCCACCGCACTGCAGCGTCTTCTTCCTGGTGCCCCAGGAGATGGGGGGCGGCCTGTGTCCAGCCAGTGCCCCTGCTGCTCGCTCAGTCGGCAGGTGGTGGGTGAGCCCCTCAGCTGTATGCCTGGCGCAGGGTCAGGGGCCGAGGAGTTTGACATGAGTGGCCTGACGGGCAGACCAGCACAGGGGCCAGGGCGACAGTGGTGAGTGGCGGAGGCTGAAGAGGCCAGGGGAGCCTCCAGAGGACGCGTCCCCACGACCAGACTTCCCTGTGAATGTGCAGGTGGTGCTCCTGTCCTGCCCTGTCGGTCCCCTCCAGCCGAGTGCTGCACTTTGGGCTATGACCTTGGAGAGTGGCACTGTCCCCCAGCCCCACGTACTCCCTGTCTGTTATCCTGGCGTCGGCACGGCCCTCGACCAGCGCTGCGTCCACTTGGTGGCCTGGGTGCTGCTGTTCCCTCTCTGTCCTTATTCTCAGCTCCACTTCGCAGGACTCGGGCCGGTGGCCCCTGGTCGGTCGTTTCATAGGGCTGAGTGGCGGGAGGCGCAGGGCTGAAGCGCCTAAGTCTGGATGACCACGTGACCCCGTCCTGGACCTGCTGGACCAGACCTCTGGGAGGCTAAAGCTCCAGCCCACGGGCTTCTGATGTGGGGGCACTGGGAGTGGAGACGGGCCTGGACACGGGAGGACGGCAAGGCCAGGGAGGAAGGTGAGCCAGCAGGAGGGGCATCATCGGATTTGGGTGACAGCTGACAACATGGGCTTCGGCACAGCTGGTACCCTAGCGTGTGCCTGGACGGCACCCCAGGCCCACTCTGTTCCCCCGAAGCGCTGTGGTCGGAGCGGTTGGAACACGACTCCCAGCAGGTTCCGGCGGTGCCGCCAGTGTCGGTGGGCCCGCCGGGAGTTTTCCAGACCCTCCCAGAACGAGGGACGTGTAGTAGTGGGCATTCCATGAGGCTCAAAATATTACTCCACATGGAAGGCTATCCTCTAGTCGGTTTTTGGTGTGAAAATGTTCGTTCTTTTAGTGGTGGTAGTTTTAAAAAATGTTTTCCTTGGGAGAGTAAAATACTGACAATCTTGCATCAGTCTCCTAATTAAAAACCAATTTAAAACAAAAGCAGCTGTTGGTTGATGAGATCCCCGTGTCTGGGCACCGGCGGGCGGGCAGCTGGGCGGGGCTGTGGGCCAGCAGGCAGCTCTGGCACCAAGCATCACCGCCCTGGGCGGGTGCCTCTGCCTCGCCAGGCTCCGGGATTGGGGGCGGGGGCTTGGAGCAGCGGTGGGGACTGTCTGGTAGAACTGGCAGGATTCAGGTTAGCAGGACTTGGGCCCCTCTGTCACTCACTGCACCTTCAGAGAAGGCCAGGTCTGTCCATTCTCCACGGACTCACCTGCATGTTTCCTTGGCCTCCCAACGTGTGCTGGGATGGGATGATGGGACTCTGGATTTTCTGTCACTGCAACTGACGATAGTCCACTAAATCCTCTCAGGCTCCGCTGGCCTCTCCGGGTGCGTAGCTGGAGTCTGCACGGCAGGTCTCCTGGCTCCTCACAGTCACCGCTCCCTCTGGCAAGGTCACATTCTGCTGTCTCTAGTGAATCACGGAGGTGTTACCTGGTGCGGACCTGGGTGGTACTGAACTTGTCCAAACAGGCTGTCTCCTTGCCTGCCAAAGAGACTCCTGAGGCAGCACTCTCCCTGGCCCCGTGGCCTCAGCCCCTGCTTGCGGGTTCTGCTGAAGGCAGTGAGTAAGCTGGCACGGCTGAGAGGTCCGGCAGGGCGTGGGTGTGGTGGTGAGGGGCCCACGGTGACGCCCAGACTCTCCGTGGTCAGGCGGAAGGCCAGCATGGCTGCTGCCCCAGGGCTAGGCTCCTCACTGGCCCCAGGCTGACGGGGTGAAACCTTACATCAGAGTTCCCCCACCCCCCGGGCTGCAGACTGCTGCGTCCTTGGCCTGGTAGGAACTGAGCCGCGCCGCAGGAGGTGAGCAGCCTGCCTGTGAGCGAAGGAAGCAGCTTCAGTTGTTTTATGCCTGAGCTCTGCCTCCTGTCTCCCCTTCCGACTGGCGCCAGAAAGGTCCCGACCACTGCCTTACTTGACCCAAAGACAGACTCCTTCCTCCGTCTGGCCTACTGCACCCGGACCCCCCTGCCCTCTGCCGTCCCTCCCTTCACTGTCGCAGCATTCCCGCCTGCTTTGTTTCTAGGTACAGTCGGCATATGTAGTGTCTGCTGTTACTGTGTCTACTCTTGGCTCTTCTTTTTGTGGTTGGTCTTCCCTTGTGAGTATCCTTTAGCTCTTCTTTTGTCTCTTTGACTTCTGCATAATCCCCCTCCCCCTTTTTAAATCATGAAGTTTCTTCCTTTTTATATTCTTTTTAAAAAGTACTTTCACCTTAACATTTATTTTAACTTCTCGGTCTTTTTTTTTTTTTTTACATTCTGTTTTTAACTTTTCTTTTGTACTTGTGGTACAAAGAAAAATCTCTTTTAGTTTTTGTTGCTGTTCTGTAAATAGTTGCTTTCATTATTTGCATTTTCTCATTTAATACATCAGTTTTAGACTCACCGTAACATTTATCTTCCATTTCAACTTACTTCTGTGGCTCCTCTCCTCTCCTAGGTTAGTGGGGTTAATTCTGTTTTCCTGGTCAGCAGAAGGTCTAACTGTAGGTGTGGGAGCTGAGAGAAGATATTTGCGGTGGTTGGAACCAAGAAAGGATTAACTGTCCAGAATGTGCAAGAAGGCCTCACAAGTCAGCGATGAAAAGACAACCCCAAGAGGAACAAGCGGGTGCAGGGAATGAATACTCTGTGGAAGCAGACCCCAGGGTTGGCGAAGCCTGTGCAGAGACGCTGAAAATCATCAGAAGAACACAATCTAACACAACAATTCCGTATCACCAGGTTAGCAAAAATGGCAAAGGTGGGTAATGCCAAGTGTCGGCAGAGGTGCCGGGACCTCCGTGCACTGCCGGTGTGGCCGTCCTGGATGGCCACCCGGCGCCACTCCTCGAGTGAGGTATGTGCATGACTCACTCTCCAGAAATTCCATGTGTGGGTGAGCGTTCCCAACAAAATTCCCACCTCTGTCCCTAAGGGGCCGTGTATAAGGATGCTCACCCAGTGTGACTGTGGAGGGTGGGGTGGAGTAGCGTCTGCCACTGGGACCACGTGCAGGGACATTCTGTGGATGACACCCCGGGTGAGTCCTCCAGAGCAGTTTCAAGCCATAGACAACATCGAATGTGGACCTTAAAAGTAGCTGAGTGAGAAAAGTAAGCTCCAGAGAGATGCAACAGTATCATTTACAGACAATAAAAGGACATGCACACAAGAAATTACAATGTTGGCAAAAATGTGTACAAACCAAAAGATGCCCGTTAGTGGGGTTGCCTGCAGGAGGCAGGGGGAGGATGGGAGTGAGGGCAGGGGGTAAGAGAAAATTGAAAACAAAGTAGAACAAAATGGGCTGGAAGAAGGTCCCTTGGGTGTTCACCTACAGGAGGCCTAGATTATAGGACATGCAT